GCCGCCGGCGGGTAGGCGCAAGGGTGATGAGGAGTTGGTCGAATTCGTCTCCACATCCCAGGAACGCATACTCGAGATGCTGACGAAAATGGGGAGCAAATGGAAGTTGATGGCGAAGACGAAGAGACATCAGCTGCGAAGGCATTTCATGATATGATCAAGGAGAATGCCGATGTTGGCGAGGTTACTGGCAATCAGTGGCCACATTCCTGAGGTCAATTTACTCACACCCGAGGTATGTGCTGATCTTCCCAACGGATTCCGTGTTTCAGACCCTCACTTGCTGATCAGAGGGCGATATGACATTGACATGTTCCTGGATTGTTTGCGGTTACGCGGGAAAACCTACGAGTACAAGATTAACTATACCTCAATATCGAGACTATTCCTTCTTCCTCGTCCCGATGATATGCACATTCTCCTTGTGGTCCGTTGGAGTAGTATCGTGTTCGCATAGCCCTGATACTGATGGATCCTCGCAGCTGGGCTTGGATCCTCCAATGCGACAAGGCCAGACCAGATACCCATTTTTTGTCCTTCAGTTCAGTCGAGATGATGAAATTGAAATGGAGTTGCAAATGGACGAGTATGTCTTCGCCTATTCTGTTTCTTAGGCTTCGATGACGATACTGTTTTTTTTTTTTGGCAGGGATACCTTGAAGACGTACGAAGGAAACCTCAAGGAGAAATACGAGCAACCAGCCCATGAGGTTGTTTCGCACGTTCTCCGTGGCCTCAGCAAAAAGAAGATCACTGCCCCATCGGGATCGTTCCAGAGGTATGGCGCTGAATACTCCTGACGTTTATTTATTGATGCTAATTGCTTAACCTACAGTCGAGATTCGCATAATAGTATCAAGGCCAATGTGAAAGCAGCGCAGGGTGACCTGTACTTCCTTGAGAAGGCACTTCTGTTCTTGGTTAAACCCACTACCTTTATCGAATACGACAGCATTTCGTCGGTTGTTTTCTCTCGGTGAGCCATCGATACAGCCTAAATGCATCGGAGCCTTTCTTACCTCTGTCTAGGGTCGGTGGTGCTATGGCTTCTGCCCGTACATTCGACATCAAAGTGCTTACCAAGGGGGGACAAGAAACTACCTTTTCCTCCATCAATAAGGAGGAGCACGAGCTCATTGAGACATTCTTACGCAGCAAAAAGCTCCGGATTAAGAATGAGATGAATGAAGAGATTCTCGTTGCTGCCCAACTCGATGACAGCGACGATGATATGGAGTCGGACACAGAATCTGTAGAGGCCCCAAAGCGTGGCCCCCGTGTGGACGCCGATGAGGATAGCGAAGAAGGTAGGCTTGCGAAGTAGCCGCACCACTTGCATCGGCTAAGGATTTATGTCCTATAGATGAAGACTTCGAGGCCGAGTCAACGGATGATGGATCACCCTCAGAATCATCCGGTGAAGAGGATGGCGGCGCCGTTACTGCAAGTGACGACAGCGGTGATCGTGATTTCATGAAGAAACAAAAGAAGAAGAAGAAAACCAATGAAGGTGGTGATGGTGCTAGTACTGTGAAGAAACCCAAAAAGAAAGAGGCTAAAAAGACCGAAGATGACGAAAACCCAAGGCCAAAAAAGAAGGCAAAGAAGGATGATGACAATTAGTAGTTCCTTTCTTTCTTCTCGCGTTGATTTCACTCGACTTTAATGTGTACGGACTAGATTGTAATTTGACCTGTTAGCTTCCACTTTGGACCAGCACTGTACTTTGCAGCCCATGCATGCTCGATCGGGTGGGCCACTTTCGGCCGAAGGCCGAGCGATGATACTTCATCTCATTACCCTTTAGTACCATGTTGCCTCCAATCCCGAGTATCTAGGATGGTAGGACTCAAATTGGGTGCTAAGCGTTCGAACGGGTCATAAGGCGTTGAAACAGTGTTTCCGGCATCGAGATTGTCACATGACTGCGCCAACGGCACGTGCTTGAAAATCCCTTTCCCTTGACCACTCCTCACAGGTGGGTGATACGCTGAGCAATGACACACCAAGAGCATTTGGACACGTTTTTTCTCTGACACTCCAGATTCTTATTTGTTTTAGAGCTATTCACGTTGAAAAATGGCCGCTCAACCTGTTCCACCAAATTGGAAGGTTTGTTCCCACCCACCTCTTTGAAACAAAATTGCTTATCTTCGACCCCCCCCCCCCTTCATCTACTTAGGATCTCGGCAAGAGTTCTAATGACCTCTTGACGAAAGACTTTCCTGTTTTTGGAACTAGCTTGGAGGTCAAGACGAAGACTCCTTCCGGTGTTACGTTCAAAGTCGCTGGAACCCGTGATGCTCGCTCGTCGCTCATCACTGGTGACATCGAGGCCAAGTATGCAGTACCTAAGAAAGGTCTTACGTTCACTAAGACCTGGACCACTGCCAACGTCCTCCGTGCTCAACTCGAACTCGAAAATCAAATTGCCGAGGGTCTGAAGATTGATGTTACAAGCTCGCTTGCCCCTGAGAAGGGAGATAGGACCGCACTCATCACTACAATCTACAAGCAGCCCGGCGTTCACTCTCGTGCCTTCCTTGACGTTTTCAAGGTACTTTCACACTCGATTTTTTTTTCTTGCCACCTTCTCAACCTCACGCCATCTTACAACATCTCACTCCTTCATTTCTTTTAGGGTCCCACGGTCACTGCTGACACTGTCATCGGCCGTGATGGCTTCCTAGTTGGTGGAGAGACATCGTACGATGTCACCCAGGGCACTTTAACCAAGTACGCTGCGGCCGTCGGTTATAGTGCCCCTGATTACGCTGTCGCCCTTCATGCCCTGGGCAATGGCAAGACGTTCTCTGCAAGCTACTATCACCGAGTTAACAGGGATGTTGAGGCTGGTGCTAAAGCTGTGTACGACACCAAGTCCACGGCTAACGGCATCGCACTCGAAGTTGGTGCTAAGGCGTGAGTGGGGGAGGGGATTTGCTCCTTACACACTTAATGGTATTCAACGGTCTTTTCTTTGACAGCTACCTTGACCCTGCCGCCTTCGTCAAGGCGAAGATCAATAATGCCGGTATTCTGGTAAGATAACATATTTCCACATTAAAATTCAAACACACGACCGACCTCATCGTACTTTTTAGGTCCTCGGATACACCCAGACCCTTCGGTATGAGTTTAATGTGCACCCCAACATAAATATTGTTTTACTTACGCATTGTGTTGACGTTCTGTAGCCCGGGAGTCAAAGCATCATTCGGCTTAGCGCTCGACACACAACGACTTAGCGATGCAACGCCAGGTCCATCCGCGCACAAAATCGGGGCGAGTTTCACGTTTGAGGGTTAAAGGGATGGAAGGAGATCTTAGAGCACTTGTTCCTGACTTTTGCCTCTAAAACGTACATTAAAGAATCAACAATGTGTTGAGAAGGACAGCATCTATTGATACGAATTGAACTTGAACCCCCGTTGTCCCCCTGAGTAACCGCACAGTCGACCTTGTGGTCGGCGAACCAGGACTCATTACGGCTCCTGGCCACCATGAGTCCTCCGACCCCAAGATTGACTGACTAGCAAGGAGGGGGTGTTAGATTAGTGAAGCAGATGGGTGATATTATATATATATGTGCGCAGGACGCACGTACATGCATTAATGGCTCGCTGGAGTACATTAGAGACGTAAAAGATATCGATCCCGATTCATGAGCAGATATCGAAGGGTCTCCCCGTGAACAACGGCTTCGAGAGCCACCGGCACGGATCTAGTCTGCGAGTATCCAATCAGGAACCACTCGATTGTATTCGTGTAGTGCAGGAATTATAACCCATAATGGGTTGACACACTGCGTGACGTGTGCCAAGAAATACCAAAATGTTAATTTTCACGACCAACTAGCAGAGAAGCCACTCTGGTTTGCTCGGCGGCGGAACGCCACAACACTCGCAATTCTCCCGCAACCCTTCAAATCGTTACGTGTTCCAATCTGAATCTGGTAGCTTGACTTTGATTGCCTAATTCTGGTATCCTGCCAGACTCCTTCCCAGTCGCTCACATGATTTCTCCGAGGTTTAGCCGCAACTTACGTTGCCCTCCGAAATCTGTCGAGCGACTGGTACAACTTGCAACACGTGATGTTCCCACGCTAAGTTGTAATGAGTTGTACATAGGTTACGGAATATAATTTTTAGTATTTACGCATGCGGTCATTGCACCCAACCCAACCTGTGGAGGCTAAGGGAGCACATCCAAGGGTGTGAAGTCAATATCCGGGTGTGCGCGAAGTTTAACAGTTTATATATTACTTGGTTGCTAGTCACTTGTTTGTGCCCGGTGGCATAAGTGGTATAGCGTTAGCTGAGGCTATGTAGTCTTTTTAAGTGGCACATGTTCGATTCTCACTTAGGAAACTTTTTTTTTTCATACCCTCCATTCCTTAGTGTACAGAAAACAACCATTTCACACAATTATTCCATGGGAGGGCCCAAAAAAAGTTTCCCTAAGTGAGAATTGAACATGTGCCACTGAAAAAGACTGTATAGCCTCAGCTAACGCTATACCACTTATGCCACCGGGCACAAACAAGTGACTGGCAACTAAGTAATATATAAATGCTTAAACTTCGCGCACACCCGGATATTAACCCCACAACCTTGGATGTGCTCCCTTAGTCTCCACGGGTTGGGTTGGGTACAATGACCGCATGCGTAAATACTAAAAATTATATTCCGTAACCTATGTACAACTCATTACAACTTAGCGTGGGAACATCACGTGTTGCAAGTTGTACCAGTCGCTCGACAGATTTCGGAGGCAACGTAAGTTGCGGCTAAACCTCGGAGAAATCATGTGAGCGACTGGGAAGGAGTCTGGTATCCTGCATGATGCTGGATACGTAGTACAAAATTAAACGTTGAAATTCGGTTCTGAACACTATAATTTACGCGCCGCGCTCAAGTCGGATGCAACCAGCTTTGACCTCACCATCACCATCACTAGCTATGACATTGCTAGCTATGACGATCTCATCGTGTCGCACACAAGACGTGAACAACGACGAAGTGAGCATGACCTTGTGGCCGGCGAACCAACATTTGGTAAGTCCGATTTTGGTTGGATGCGATGGTTTCGTATGAACGTTGTCTGACACACATCTCGCAAAAAGCCCCCCCCCCGGAGTTCGATCTTCCGGCAGTGCGCGCGCGTGCTCCTGCGCCTGCGCCTGCTCCCGCTGCTCCTTCTCCTGCTCCGGCCGTCCCGTCGACTTCTGAGCTGCCGAGAGACGCCTGTTCGCCTGGGGTCCGTACGCGAGCGCGGGCCAAGAGGGAATCGATGGTGGCTCCATTGCCGAAGCCGCGCTTTTTTTCTGGGATTTCAAAGGAAAAGGGACGCGCCTCGGGCTCGGGGAGCAGCTCGAAGGCACCGAGGTATGTGGTTTCGGTCCGCTGAAGCTCTAATCGTACTGATCCGCATCTGGCTGCAGGTCGAATCGCGGGGCGAGGCAACCGTCCACCGTCCTCAAGTGCATCTCGAAAGAGCATCATGTCCGGCATCCAAGAAGGCCTCTGGACGATGCAAGTACGAGCCAATGGAATGATCAATCGATGTCCAAAATCTTGTTATGTAGCACTCAGCGGGGATACTCAACTGGGGAAGATCTCACACTTGTAACATTGTAACCGCACAGCGGTATGAGTAGCTAGACTAATAACATGATGAGGCAAAACTGATAAAGGAAAAATACGCGCGTAAGCGCTACATGTGGAGCACAGTCAACGGTGAACATATCAGTAACTGATAACGCGTACCGACACGTCGTCATGGCTTGTTTATCCAACACAAAACTTGGTTGCAGACTCAAATGACAAAACGTACGCGACGCGACCTGCTAGATTTTAGTCGCTGTTTGTGCTCGGGTCTCTTCCCATGCATCTACAACGTCCCGCGAACTCATCATCTATCTCTCTGCCTCTTTCCGCTTAGGTCACGTTGTTTAAGTATCACTTTAGCGGTATCTCTCTTCTCACGTCCGACGCTGGCATGGCGAAGTGGCCTTCAAGTTGTCTTGTGGGTGTTGGCATGATCGAACTGCGACTGGCCAGGTCGCCATACTCCACGGTTCGTTTTTATGTCATCGTTGCACGTCTCTGGTTGGGTGTTGGCTGATAATCCTCGGCGCGTTTCACGTCGACCATTCGACCGTCCCTGCTCACCAATGAGTTTGCCTTCATGCCATGTCAATGGCGCTATCAGTCTCGATTCCCCAGTGCACAGTGATGCCTGGAGCTTAACATTGAGGCGTCGCCCATGTGTTCATCGGATCTCAGTAACTGTTCAAACTATGCCAGCCATTAATGACATCTTGTTATCAGCTTCGTAGCGCCTACCGGCAGCTGTCTAAACGCCCCATGCTGAATTTACCCGTGGACCTCCATGATAATGTTGCGATCATAAAGTGTACCAACAAATTGAGAAGGATTGGAATATTGGTTTCAGCGCCGATATGAGCGAACACTTGGTGTGCAGGAAGGGGCCGGTTAGAACGACAGTGAGTGTAACAGCCAACAAAAAGCGTAGAGATGTAGCCTTGTGTGGCGATGATATCGTTGTGGTTCGTGATTCTCCAACTCCTCTCCTTGTTTGATGATGACGTTGAATCGTTGTGACATAGGACGATTGCCCAGCACAGGCCAAGGGACTGCTTGCGCGGATGTAGGCAGGACCTATCGGTGCCATTACTTCTGGGCTTCCCTGAATTGAGGACGCTGCGAATGAAGATCTCATTGGTAAAGGCTCAGCCAATTGCTTGTCGGAAGTGTTGAGGATTAGCGCGCCAGTTTCCAGCCAGCGGCCAGGGCTTCAGCGACGAGAAGCAGAGTTCCAGGCGACGCGTACTCGTGGCCTGAAGTGTTATGTGTGTGGACAATCGAGTTGTTTTGTCGGATGGTTTCAGTCTTATTATACCGAAGACACAGATCGCACCTGCCCGCCCGCCGCTCCCAGCATGGGAGTAAGGCAGCAGAGATCGAGGACGTACGGCACAACAGTTGTTAAGCGATGGCTGGATGTGAGACCTTTGGGTAAGTTCAGTGCATTGGCGATGCGGTAACTCATAAGTTCCACAGATATACCAAGGTCTCCGCTCCTAGACACCGCGAGATTGGACTTGCATGCCGAGCAACACAATTGTGACCGGCCTCTCTTTAGTGTGCCCTCAGACTGGGTACGAGTCTGCACTTTCATGCGGCGAGGATTTGCCGGTCACGGACAAACGATCGATCGTTGTCACCTATATATAAGCCATGCCTCATCGACTCGCAAACTACTAAATGGATCGCTGCGGTTCGTTTTTTTTTTCCCACTCCCATCTCCAACGATTTCAATGCCAGAATGGAAAGAGAGAGACGGTGGAAAAAAGAAATAAAATCAAAACGAATAGTTAGTTGTTTACTTCGCTGTTTCTTTTGGTACCCCAGTAGTCTTCGCGATACATATGTACGTAGTTGGGGTTTGTCTTGGGAAATGCGAGTTCCCGGTATACTTTGCTGTTTCCATCTCCTTGAAATGTTTTCACATGAGAGAGTCGGGCGAGGCGCAGCAAGCAAAATTACGCGCTTAAAATTTACTACAATTGCGTGTTGTTACGATGGTACATTCCCAATCTAGCCTTCTGCCGGACGGAATGTTTGTGCCCGGTATCGATATCTTGAGCGCTTGTAGTTACATAAACTCGTTCGTTCAAACGTAAGACACCTAGTCGTGAGTACGTACTCGCAGCGCATTCCTCTTTCGTTATTCCAATCTCAGTTCGAAACACGATCATTTCTCTACACACTATGGCTTCCTCTAACTTCAGTGAGTTTCTTTGCAACTCTTCCACTTCAACCTCTCAACCATGCGTGCAGGTTTGTTACTCTGGGGGTGAATAGTCTATCTATGCAGGCCAGCACGAGCGCCAGGCTCGACACTGGACCGATTCGAGACAGATGTCTTCGGGGTGCACCCTGTGTGAGAATTGTCGTGGAACTCGCATCTAGTGTCTTTGTTACTTCCCACTTCGCAAAAGGATTCACCGATTGACGCTGACCGCTACACTGTCTCCAAGTGTGCTCAATCTCCATCTTAGCTTCACTCAAATGTTAAACATGACTCAGTCTCCACACCACTCAGACAACTTAAGCCTGATCGATCAACCCGGAACACATCACTGGCACCCATGTTTCAAAGTGAATGCGTCCTCACTTCCCAAGGAGCTTCCTGTTTAAAAGTTGATGCCAGCACGCGCTGTGTCCTACATAGGCTGGTCCTACGCAGTTATCCACAATGTTCGGGGCACGTCATTTCAGAACGCGTCTTGCTCCCTACAACGCACCACTACACCCTCCAGAGGACAAACTGGTCCCATTCCTTACCAATGATTTACAACGAACCTCAAATGGTATCGTTCACACTTTATCAATTGTAAGCATTTTGAGTGTCTCGTTTCCCTCGATTCCAACACTCATCGAGATAAATTGCATCTGGTCAGGCCCAAACAGTTCTCATGTATGCATCTGTGCTGATGCTTCTGGTGGCTGCTCTAAGCGTCGTCATTACTTGCGAGTCATATCCCGTTACATTGTCGTGTGATTTCTTACTCCCTTCCCCTTTGCTACAGACTATCGCTGCCCCCTCTGTAATCCGTGGAGTTACAATTACTCCTTCTCTGATACTCGTGCTTCTGCCCTCGGTACACCATGTTCCGAATGTCGGGGTGACGAGTTGGGTGGTTGCGATGCTCGGAAAGGCATGATGCGAAACTGGTTTCCGGCGGCCAACGCAAAACACAAGGCATTGTGGCCCCCTGGTGGCTGCCTTCTTCACCCACCATTTTTTGCCTGACCTTTGTCCTAACTCGCTGCCATATATACTGCCTTCGCTCTGCAAAGCTTATCTGGGGACGACCGGGTGTCCCGCGGCCCTACACTTGTTATGCTCTCTCATGTGTCGTAGAACTCTTGGAATGTCACTGCCCTACTCTCCACACCAGCCTGGTACAGAGAATGACTGAGATCGAGACGTCGAGACCGGTCAAATTCGAATGACGTCAAGCAACTAACACATCCGCCACAGCTGACTGACACGGAACAATCAGCTTGCTATGGTTTAATCCAAAATACCGATTTCAATATGCGTCGCTCATGTCTGCTGGACTCTTTCCACTCAAATCCTTGATATTCATGTCGGCATTTTGGTTCTTTTCGCGGCCGTCAGTTCGTCGTTGCAAAAGGGAAACCTCTTGCTCGGTCCCCTCCGCATGTGGTGCATGATACATGAGTAAACCTCGGATTCAGGTTGCTTCTTCCCCGCGCAACTGCAGTCTAAACCAAAACTAGACTACGACGATTCGAATATATATAATACCTCAGTCCCAAGCAAATACCTTATACCTTTTGATCCTCGTCACTTTACTTCTGCCTCCAAGTCCTCCAAGTCCAACCGACAAATATGTACATACCTTCGAATGAACCGTGGGCAAACCCCAAAGTTGCCGCCATCGCCTCACTTTACATTGAAGGCCACGTCAAGCGTAAGGATACTTTTACGGATAATCCCCAACCTATTCCCATGGATAGTGGAATAGGCTACAAGTATAGTGGTGTCGTCATTGCGGCAGTGTGTGAGTAACCTTCACTCGTGCATACAAGACACGCTTACAAAGACTACCACATCCTTCAGTAGGCGTCGTGCTAGTCATTGCACTCCTGTGGATATGTTATACCAAACACATATTCTTGTGCCTTCGTGAATGCTGCTGTGGATCTTCGGATACCGACCGTCCTTCATACCCTCGCTTCTACTCAGGTACTTCATTGAGCAGCTTCTGGTGGGCAACACCGCCTCCAAATCCACCATCCGTTGAGCAGCCCAAACCTCAAGAGAACATGGCAATTCCACGCCAATATCAGCCGACACGCCGACCCCCCAGTTCGTCTCATGATAATCCCGATACCGCTCCCCCTCCATATCAACCACCCACCCCTCCGCGAGCCCTGGTCCCCCGGCGAACCACTAGCCATGATAGCTTACCGAACATAACCGAGGACGAAACTGTTGATCCCGCAAATATCCCTCTTCCACACACTCCAGTTCCTCGACCTCCACATCCCTAAAGCAAGTCCTGAGACGCTAGCTGGATTCCATCAGTACGAGCCTACAACATTCTGTAGCACAACACCCCATTTCAACTCTTCGATTATGTTTTTGTCCCACCGCGACTCGGATTTTTTTTTCTACCTTCGCTTTGCGGCGTATGAATGGATCGTTGTATTGATCTTATCCTGGGTGATTTATTATAATGTATTTTCGATGGGGGACCACGAAATAGGCCCCCTCTATGTTGTGCGTAACAATCCAGTCTTGCTTATAACCCCCTCGCGAGCTTCGAGGATACCGCAAGCTCATACACGCCCAAAAATACTGCTCCACCAGCAGATATCCAAAATGTGCGAGGTATGATTCCGGCGAAGAGCGCGCCCACACCTTCAACACGATAAATACTCCGGAATCTGTGGGTGATTGAAGGAATTCCGCTCCTGTCTGCCTACGATAGATCATCGGGAATCCAAATTTCTAAAAAAATTCAATTGGACTTACCCTCATGTCAAGCATGACGCGGGTTTTGAGGACATCCAGTGGTGTGGTGAGAGCAGCAGCAACACCCCCAGCAACGGATCCGCAAAGGGATGCTTCGTAAGCATGAAGCACTCGCTTACCGGGCAAGCGCTCTCTTAACGAGCGCTTTAGGTATTCGTAAAGCGGGAATTGCAGTGATGTGAAAGGAATCTGAACGATGAGAAGTATCAACCCCAGTTGTGGCACTCAAGTGGACGGAACGAGCCTCCCGCATAATGGTGATTCCAAAACCACGGTATAGGCCAGCGACTCCATCGGCACGCATCACATTCCTGAACGTATCAAATGATGACGCTGCGACGCCGTATGTAGAAGTTTGCGTTCTTGACTTGACAACCTCTGTCGGGACACGGACAAGACACGCAGCGCATTCACCCATCGAGGCGGAAAAAACATGAGCCAGAGGAGAAGGATGTGAGATAGGGGAAGGAAGATTGTGTTTTAAATAATCATATGTTGTGAAGAACGCGGCAGCTTTACAGAGGAAATACTAGCTCAATGGTAAACAATACAACGATTGTTAATATTGCAGCTAACCTCCCGGTGCACTCCCAACGATGACACTCCCAATCCCACGATAGACCCCCCTAAATCCACCGGCTGCCAGAAATCCTTGAGAAGATTGCAGTCGTGTTTTGACTGTGTCAATTGGAAAAAAGAGCAAGTCTACGGAAGTGCCTGCTGCCGCGCCTGCCTAACGCACCCTCAGTTAAGCATCATCTTCCATTCAATCAGGTTTGAACGCACAAACAGTGACTGCAGGAAGCTAGGCACTTCAGCGCCGCCTCCAGCATCCATCTAATCGACGCCTCTGTGGGAACGGCAATTCCCGGAGCAACTACACATGTCACGCATGTCACGGTCCATCGATTTTGTCTCTCGATCTCGTTACATCCACTCGCTCTTGTGCGTGGGCGAAGGCGTAACGGATAGCGTGGCGACGGCCCCGACAAGATGTCGAAGCCTCTTGATTTGAAGCGAGCCGGTAGATACAAAAACCCCAAAAAAAAGGAGGCGATGGGGCAGGTGGAAGGTAACGATGAAGACAACAGAGAGTAGCAGCAAGAAGCGCCAACAAAAGAGAAGAAGTGAAGTTACAAGAAACAAGGCATGAGCCGAAAAATGAAAGACACCGTAAACATCCGGGATCCAACTTGCAAAGGGTAACCAAGGCTAACTGCCTTATCCAATGCAAGACCGAATATTCAACACCAACCAACCACCCTAACCAGAACTAATAAGAGAATTAGTTAGAAATATACGTCAGAGTCATAGAAAAAGGAAATAAACTCCAGCGTGCGCGGACGCAAGAGAGATAAAAGACTGTAGAACAACAGCGTGCAGCGGACGCGAGAGGTGGTGGCTGAGAAGCCAAAGCGTACCGCGGACGCAGAAGAGAAGGCACGGAGGCCGAAGCGTACAGCGGACGCGTGTAAAGAGAAAGAAAATCCACCGACGTACCGATCAAGCAGCAGAAATCAGAAACATGGACACAATTGCATACCAGACAACTAAGAAAAACTGAACATCGCGGATGAACAGTCTAAAGGCATAAAGCAATGAATATTGCGTACAGACGAGGACTTGACCTAGCAAAGGGGCACGGCGGATACCCAGAAGAAAACTGAGGCGCTGAGGCCGGCGCACACAAGTCATATTTAATCTCGTGCCTCCATTAAATTTAAAACTATTTCCCCTCCCCAATCATGTCCTCCAGCCAGAATCCTCAGCAAGCGCTCGGAGACTCATCTGCCCCCCATCCATTCAAGCCCCCGAGTACTGTCAGCCTCACAACACATTCAAATTGAGGGAAGAGCCAAATACAGGCAAGGAGGCGAGAGGACGTTGCAGGCGAAGGATGGCACCATTGGGCCTCCTAGAGCAAAGACCTCCTGGACCCGAAAGAACCAGGAGAAGAGTCTGGAATCGACCCGGCGTTTATAATTGATTAATTTTTTGATAGTACTTGACTACTGGATACTGGCCGTGCCATAGCGGCTATCCGAGTTTTTACGATGTTCTCGTGTATTACTGAACCTATAATATAATGTGCATGCTTGCGCCCGCGCGTGGATGTGTCAGGAAGTCATGCATGGAAGGTAAGCCGTTTACTGTAACGGACGCAAGATGGATGAACCACTGTCGACTCGGCGCGGGCCGGATCTGTATATCCCTCATTGTCAACGACGATAAACCACACTCCCACGGTTTCCAGCGATTGCCGGACCTTGCCCACAACCACTTTCGCCATCCGCTTTACTCTACCGTGACTTGGGATTCGGATACCCTCGTGATAATTAAACATTTCGGGCATTTTCTGGTTACAAAATCTCATGCCTGTTAACCCAACTTCAATTCATTGTCGAGCCGAGTTTTCACACGGCATATCAGCGGTGGCGGGATCAACGTCTGATAATCTGCCTAACGGAACGTCCATTCTCCTGCCCACAGGCTAGAGCTCTTTATAACTCTAACACTTGTTCTTGAAACCGCTTTAACTCCTTTTCGCCCATCGACGATCTTATAGTAGTCCTCTGGAACTGCTGTTTCGACGTGATAAATGGCTCCAGTTTTGATGTTGACGCGGAAACGCGCGTTAGGGATCGCGGCGGGAACGATCGTATTAGGTACAGGATGGCAACTCTATTCCGTGAATAAGCCTGCGTTTCCTCCTCCTCCACCTGGTGGCAGACCACCACCTCCCTGGACTCCACCTTCCAGGCAGCAAATGCTGAGTAGTTTGAGAGCGAATGTACCGGTAAGGGCATTGGAGGAGGACGTAGAATTAAAAGGGGACGAGGAGTTTGATTTGCTAATTGTTGGTGGAGGAGCTACAGGCTCCGGAGTTGCCGTTGATGCTGCTTCGAGAGGTCTTAAGGTTGCACTTGTCGAGAGGGATGATTTTAGTTCTGGTGAGCTCGATCTGCTCATGTCCATACTCTTACTCTAGTGAATCTTGATTGCTCATTCTTCGGCTCTTCGAAACATTGTAGGTACATCATCAAAATCCACCAAGCTTGTCCATGGCGGTGTTCGATATCTTCAAAAAGCTGTTCTCGAACTCGACTATGAGCAATACAAACTCGTCAGAGAAGCATTGCATGAACGCCGAATCTTCCTCCAGACAGCACCGTATCTTTCCCATATGCTTCCTATCATGCTGCCGCTGTATAAATGGTGGCAATTACCCTATTATTGGGCTGGGTGTAAAGCATATGATTTCTTGGCTGGCGGTGAGAATATGGAGTCTAGCTATGTCATGACAAAAGGAAAGGCTCTCGAAGCGTTTCCTATGCTCAAGAGTGAAGGTTTGGTTGGTGCGCTGGTTTATTATGACGGTGAGCATGGTATCCGGTTACACCGTTTTCTCGTGCCTACGGACATTGCTTCTGACTGAGATCCTTTCGTAAATGCCAGGTCAACACAATGACGCGCGAATGAACGTGTCATTAATCATGACGGCGGTCCAACATGATGCCACAGTCATTAATCACGTCGAAGCGACCGAATTATACAAGAATGAAGCAACTGGCAAGCTGAATGGCGCACGCGTTCGAGACCGTTTAACAGGTGAAGAGATCAACGTTCGGGCAAAGGTAAGCGTGTTTCCGTTGATTCCTCATGATGTTTACGATCAGCACTTCATAGGGAATCATCAACGCCACTGGTCCCTTCAGTGACTCGCTTCTCCAAATGGATGCAGCCATCTCCGGCCTGGCTCCACCCAAGCCTATTGTCGCCCCTTCTTCCGGCGTACACGTCACTTTACCGAATTACTATTCCCCTCGTAAGATGGGTCTTCTCGACCCTGCCACAAGTGATGGGCGGGTAATCTTCTTCTTACCATGGCAAGGAAACACCATTGCCGGTACGACCGATACTCCCACGAGCGTGACGGATATGCCCATACCACGCGAGGAAGAAATTGAATGGATCTTGGAAGAAATTAAACGATACTTGTCACCCGATATTCGAGTTCGAAGAGGGGATGTTCTTTCAGCGTGGAGTGGTTTACGACCTCTTATACGGGATCCTAATTCATCGAACAGCAAGGACCTCGTGCGGAACCATTTGATCACAGTCTCGGGATCTGGGTTGATCACCATTGCTGGTGGGAAGTGGACAACATACAGGGCCATGGCGCAAGAGACTGTCGATAAAGCGGCGGAAGTGTTTGGCTTTGATGTTGGATCGAGTATTACGGAGCGGGTAAGGCTTGTTGGAAGCGAAAATTGGAGTAAGAACATGTTTATTGGGTTGGTTCAACGGGTGAGTGCGATCTTGCATTTTTTTTCGTGCTTCTTGAAGATTCTTCTTGTTAGTATGGTCTGGAAACGGAGGTGGCTAAGCATCTCTCTGATAATTATGGAGACCGTGCCTGGGCTGTAGCTTCTATGGCGGAGTCAGCAGGTCGTAGATGGCCTCTGCATGGTATCAGACTAAATCCCAACTATCCCTGTGCGTTTCTTTTTCGTTTGTTTTCTGACAAGAACAACACAACATAATAATCATATTCCGCAGACATCGAGGCTGAGATTTATTATGCTGTTCGGAATGAATATGCTCAAACAGCAGTCGACTTCATCGGACGTCGGTCACGGCTAGCTTTCCTCAATGCAGCAGCAGCGCTTGACGCCCTTCCTCGTGTGATTGATATTATGGGGAATGAGCTTGGATGGAATGCGAATAGAAGGAAGAAGGAATGGGTTGATGCGAGGGAGTATCTCGTCACTATGGGATTGCCACCCCCTTCTCCGGGGGAGATTGAGAAGGCAGATTTGGATGTGAGAGGCAGAGGATGGTATGATCTCACGCTTGGAGGGACACGAGGCGGCGGGGGGTTCCTCGGCAGGTTTACACGACTTGGAAGTGGAATCGGAGAAGCGGATCATTCGTCTTTGTTGCATTCGAGAGCACACTTCTCGCTGGATGAATTGGAGGCGTTGCGTCTAGCTTGGGTTGCTCGTGGTGGTGACGAGGAAAAAGGAGCTGGGATCCGACCTACCGACGTCGTTGAGATTTCCCGCGGGGAGGCCAAGTTTATTGCTCCGAGCGGGAAGGCTGTTGAGTTGAAAGACGTGGTCAGTGCAATGGTTAGCGCGGGGATTGAAAAGGCGAAGAACTCACTGAGCTTCGATGAGTTCGTGGATGTGAGTAGCTCTTCCACATACATGCCCGGGCATTGATGGTTGTTTCTTTTCCAGACTGCAGCAAGCATGAAAGACACGCTCACTGCCAAGCGCAAAGGAGTCAAACTCTCTGCACGAGATGCGGAGCGGAGAGTCATCCCCGTCGAGAAGAGTGGAGGAGGCCTTTAAAATGAACTGTCCAGCATTCCTCTTTTGCCACATGCGCACTCTGCTCATTTTCATCCATTTTGAGCTGGAGCTTGAGGCACAATTTTGCCCATTCGTCTTCGTTCTGCTTGCTATTGACGGACCCAAAGGACCACATTCACCCCAAGGATGGAATGTTGTATCGTAGTTCTGTACATATGTGGATTATGCATCTAACAGTGCTCTAATTGCCTATGTAGTAACGGCATCTTTTGGCCATTATTCTCAGCTGAACACGGGCTCGGGGTCGGAAGGGAGGAGTGTGTACACGGACCATTCATGTCGAATTTCTTATTAAACAGGTCTTACCCCTCTGAAATCCTTGGGTGCCTTTTACCCAGTATAACTGAGGGAGGGTAGGCGGGCATATATTGCAGGTTTTGCATGTGCAGGCGTTGTGGCGAATTCAGAAATTGAATAAGTTCAACGGACACTCTACAAAGTTTCCTCGCATATTAATAGGGTGATAGACCTGTCTTTGCTAATTCCTGTGCACCACAAATGTGCTTGAGATGAGGCTGGGGTGAAAGTTGGGACAAGTGAATTCGGTGGGTTTTGTTGTCCATTGTTGATATCGGGTCTCCTCGCGAAAATTCATCCTTGCCGCAAACGCCAACTATTTTGCGACGACCATGACGGCCCCGACGCATATCCTTTTCGAATCCTCTAGTGGATATGCGCTCTTCTCGTCAAGGAAAGTTGAAGAGATTGGGTCCAAGGCATGACTTGTCTTTTGTTTCTTTCAAACTTGCTTATATGCGCTCCGCACTCTAGCATGCAGATGTCCAAAACTCCATTCGGGATGCCTTCAAGTTCGGGAAGATGGTCGAGCTACGGTCTTTCGCGCCTTTCAAAACGGCTGCTCACGCATTAGAAAATGCTAATGACATTTCAGAAGGTTCGCTTATTTTGGCAGTTTTATTCATGAAATGCCACTGACTAGTGCTTGGAAATCGGGGTTATTTCTAGGCATTGTGAATGACTACTTGAAGGAACTTCTTGAACTCAATCTTTTGAAGTCGAAATCAAATGAGCCCATAGTCTTGGGCGTTTCTGATAAAAACCTTGCTTCGTCACTCAGTGCTACTCTCGGCATCAACTGCGATACATCCCCCCGTTCTCTTGAGCTCATTCGAGGCATACGTCTTCACGCAGAAAGACTTCTCCGGGGTTTGCAAGCGGGAGACCTCGCAAAAGCTCAGCTGGGTCTTGGTCACGCCTATTCGCGGGGGAAAGTCAAGTTCAACGTCCACCGTGCCGACAATATGATCATCCAAGCTATCTCGCTTCTTGACCAGCTCGACAAAGACGTCAACACGTTTCATATGCGTATCAGGGAATGGTATGGATATACCTTCCCTGAACTTGCCAAGATTGTGCCCGACAGCTTGTCGTATGCTCGTGCCGTCCGCTTCATCGGGTCCAAGTCGACATTAAATGAGTCGAAGCTTGATGATTTGACGGACATTCTTGGGGGCGACGCGACATTGGCCAAGAACATTTTGGATGCTGCCCGCACAAGCATGGGGTCAGACTTGAACGAGATTGACGCCATCAACATCAATCATTTCGCGGAGCGGACTATTGGCCTTGCGGAGTACCGTCATGGGTTGGTCGTTTACTTGTCCGAGAAGATGCACGCTGTTGCACCAAGCTTGTCGGCTCTTCTTGGCGAGCGGCTTGGGGCGCGTTTGATTTCGCATGCTGGCTCGCTGACCAACTTGAGCAAGTACCCGGCGAGTACAGTTCAGATTCTTGGGGCAGAAAAGGCACTCTTCCGTGCCTTGAAGACTAAAGGCAAAACTCCCAAGGTTCGCCATTAAATTTTTTTGAAGGGTAGATTCACTTAGATATCTCTATTCATTTCAGTTTGGTCTTCTTTATCACTCTCCTTTCATCTCTCGAGCCAAGGCCAATCACAAGGGTCGCATCTCCCGCTTACTTGCGAACAAGTGTTCGATAGCATCTCGTATCGACTGCTTCTCTGAGAAGCCGACAATTAAGTTCGGTGACGCTCTCCGGCAACAAGTTGAGGAGCGTCTCCAGTTCTACGAGGTCAGTGACAGACACAATTCTTGTTCCCTCCACTTTCCGCTAATGATGCTATGCTTAGTCTGGGGTACCACCGTCAAAGAACTCAGATGTGATGCAGCAGGTGCTGAAAGAAATTGGTGAGGATGAGGAAAGTGACACGGAGATGGCCGAACCAGAACCTCCAAAGGTAAATGGGAAAGGAAAAAAGGGAAAGGAGAAGGCTGAGAAGAAAAAGAAAAAGCGGGATAGCGATGGTCATGAGAGACCCGAGAAGAAAAGGGGCAAGGAGGGTTCTGAGAAGAAGGATGAGGAGAGTCCTGTGAAGAAGCGGAAACGCGAAGAGGTTGAGGAAGAAAATGAGCCGTCACCGAAAAAATTGTCAAAGGACGAGAAAAAGGCCGCCAAACGGGCCGAAAAGGCAGCAGCCAATGCGGAGGTGTGTTATCCATTTGACAAATTGTTTGCAATACATGACTGACGTTGGTGTATACAGCCATCTCCTGAAAAGAAGAAGCACAAAAAAGATAAGGATCGGGAGCGGGAGTCAAAGAAGCGACGAAAGAGCGAAACTGCATAACTTTTTTTCACCCGGTTTGCTGTCTTTGTTTAGCTCTTGGCTTTTGCTGTATATTGCATATTATTGTGCTTCCTCTTTTAATCATGAAGATGCTTGCTTTTGACGATGGAATGCAATTGTGCAACTGGATGATGATGACAGCCATTCCATCCCCGTGGCAGCGGGGCTATCCGTTCGATCCACCGTGGCATAGGGAAGGATCGTTAGGAGCCGCTGGTTGATGTAACTGGGGGTGCATTCGACATCGACCCCTGAGTGACAAGCTTATGGCGGGACTGACTCAGTATCCGTTCCGATCATTTTCAGCCCGGGACCAACCGGTTACCTTGTCGCCCTACGTGTCTCAACATAGGTAGGTTCGAGGTATTGTCCATCCTTACCAGGCTTATACTTCTATCCGGGAACGCATCGTCCGTCGTACGACTGGCGAAGGCTCAATGCACGAAGACAGCCCGAAGATCTATAAGTCTCACCTTCGCTACGAGGACGTGCCTGTAAATAGTGCCTATCAGCTCCTGTTCGAACACCCCACCATCGATGTGCCTGATTCACACACCGTGTACATCGATGCTCTGACTGGAGTCTCAAGGACTCGTGGCCAGCATATTGTCCGATCTAAGAGGCTTGCTACTGCGCTGGTGACTAGTCCTTCCAAAGGTGGCTTGGGATTGACTAGAAATGAGAGGGTTGGCATCCTTGCTGAGAACTGCATGGTGAGCCACAATTACAATAACTAGTTGTACCATAATCCTAATTGGGCCTTTCCCTCCTCCCATAGGATTACAGTGTTATTGTTCACGCGTGTCTCTATGCTGGCATCCCCTTTGTCATGCTGAACATCAATGCGACAATGGATGAGCTCGTTCACGCCGTCGATTTGGTCACTCCGTCCCGGGTGTTTATCACCAAATCTCTTCTTGGACGCCACATTAAATCTTTGAAGTCCACAATGACATTTTCTGGAGTTGCATTCTCCAGTAGTGGGCTCGGAGGGCCCGACCAGATCGTTGAGTTGAAGGATGGACGAGATTTGGATGCTTTGCTTGTCGATACAATCTCCATGCAGACTCTACTAATGTGCAATGTAAAGAGAAACGATATAGCGGTAGGCGAAACAAATGCGATGATGATGTGAATATGCTGATGTAGAGAAGTATATGATTTTTTCGAGTGGCACCACCGGGATGCCAAAGGCGGTAATGATTAGTCATGGGAATGTGTACGTCCACTCTTGTAGCCTGTTTCTAGTCCTAATAACATATCGCAGGATGTCTTCCATGCTGCAGGGTAGGGCCGCAATGCAAGTCGTGTTGAAAGCCCTGGGGATATCGTCCCCGCAAGGGGTTCCATGCCTGGCCACTCTACCAATGTATCACACATACGGATTTTTCAGCACCTGCTTGAGGTATTTGAGCTTTGCTCATTGTGAGCAACCACGAAGGGAATGCTTATTATGTTATTGACAGTAACCACGCTACAGTCAACACCTACGTCATCCTCCCTCGCTGGGAGGTCGGGGAGGCTCTGCGAGCCATAGAAAAGTCAGGAAAATCCCTTACCTCAGTAGCTGTCTATTTGACCCAGTCAGTAGGTATAAGATTCAGACAGCCCTACTGGTTCCGACAATGATACGGCAGTTGGTAAATGCACTGCTGTTGAAAGAGAACGACTCAAGCTCCCTCCGGGGTGCTTTAGGAACCCTCACAAGTGTGGTTTCAGCTTCTGCGGCTTTGTCGCCCGAGCTAGTGAAAGAGTTTTACAAGATCCTAGAGAGGCCGTCAAATGAGCATATCGCCACGAACGTCTCTGTAGGTTCGGTAAGTGTGGAACACTCGCCCTCGAGCCCTTGCCTACTCAACCTGTTCTTTGTTAACAGTATTTTGGAGCATCCGAAGCGGTAAGACACCGACATTGCCGGATTCATTCCCCCCCTCATTATACTCAACAGACAGTTTCAATTGCTTCGCCAGCATTCAGAGCCCCAAAGTTGGCACCGCCTGGGTTCTTGACCACAAGTGCATTGACTCTTGTTGCGAACACAGAGGCTGTCCTCCGTCATGATAGTGATGGTCCCGGGCGATCGAGTGAACAGTTACCACGAGGATTCTCTGTTGGGGAGTTATGTATCCGGGGGCCGAACATCGCTCTTGGGTACTGGAACAACAAGTTCGCTACGCAGGAGACGTTTCGAGTGACAGTGCCTGGTGTCGAAGGGAATGACTGGCTCCGAACCGGTGATCTGGTGAGCGGCTGCAGTATTTCAGGCCTGCTTTTTTGTCCTTCCACTCACTTGATCTGCCAAAGTTCATTGCGGACCAAGATGGTAGTTTGTGGTTCGTTGAAAGGATCAAGGTCTGTCTTTAGATGTCTCCCTCTGAACATCATACCAATATCCCATCCACTTCCACCTAGGACGTCATGAAGATATCAGGATCACAAGTTTCTCCCCAAGAAATTGAGGAAACTATACTAAAGCATTGCCGGGAGATTGTAAATGATGTTTGTGTCATTGGGGTCAACCCAGCCTCTGTTTTAGCGGCATCACTGGCAAACGGTCCACTTGAGCATGCAGAGAGAGTCAAGAGGTCAGCTGCGGCTGAGGAATTGGTTCCGCGTGCCTGGGTCGTACCTTCTCTCAAAGGGAGGGCCATTGGCAAGGAGAAGTGTGCACAGGTTATCGATTCTGTGGTTCGTGAACGCCTAAGCAAGATTAAATGGATAGTGGGCGGGATAGAGTTCATCAGTGAGGTGAGTGGCGTAAGTGCATGATCCCACAGAGAACTGGCTCAGGATGTTATGTTTAGGTGCCTAAGAATAGTGTCGGAAAGACGATGCGGCGTCCTCTGCGAACCCAGTTCGAGGCCCAATATCCTCCTAAGGCAGCTCGCCTCTGAGGTATTCTCACGTGCTCCTTGCTGGGGTCCTGCCTTGGAGGAATTGTTAATTTCGTTCGATACGTTATGTAGTGGATGTTATGGCAGTGATGAATTCCCCTCGATCGCTGATTGAAAATGGCTTTGCAAGTATACGTACTTTTGCAACCAGATGTTGAGGTCTGTTTGCAGCCGGACCGGCCGAAGTGATCACTTGTCGCGGCGCAGCATCGACAAGGGCTCCTTAGCTACGAACGTACATCGCAAGGGCTATACATAGAGTCGAGAAGGCATAGAGGCTGGTTCTACCTGACATATCGTGCATTGAACGAGGAAGTACCTGACCTGTCGCTCCTAGCCGCGTCGTACATTCCGAATATGGCAGAGAAAGCTGATGGCATGTTACTGGGGGTGGGCAACCCAGGTTAGTTCCGTGTCCCGATTATGTAATCAGAATCGTCTCAAACATGAGCCCCGAAACAACTTCCTCATAACTCACATCCTCACTCTCCCAAACCTCATATGAGATTATTTAAGCAAAGTATACATCGTGTACTATAGTTTTGAGACTTGATCGGAAAGATCGGTGGTAAATAAGATGTGAAAGTAAGGGATCGGATTATGATACCTCCAGTGAGTGTATTCCTGTGATTCTGTCTACTGCGTATTATAGCGCTCTATTATATGTTGAAGCAGTGTCCTCCTATCACTGACGCGCATCTTCTTGACAGTTGTTCGATTCGGAATTGATGCATCATCTGGTGCGAGCCACCGGTGTTTATTGATCTGCTCAATCATAGCTTCACCTGTCATCTTCGCGACCTCCGTGATATCCAGTTGAAGTTGAGTCCCTTCCATCTTCCTGTTCTCTGCATCTTTCTTGCTTGCGCGATCTATTTGAGCTTGACGAGCCTTTGCAATCCTTGCCTCCTCCGCTTTAATCAGTTGTACCCGTTGGTTTGATTCTAGCTTGAGTTTGTCGCGCCTTCGAGCTTCCGCCCTGACATATGCATGGTGAGCCTCAGTGAAGTGTGCCTTGATGAAGGCTTCAGTGTTATTTCGACTGTACATCATTATTGCATTGAAGCGGTGCTTGCTGAGGGACGGAAACCGTCGTGCCCAAACCCGCCAAGTGCCCAACATGCCTTCATTAGCATCATTGGTTGTTGGCGTGAAAGCGTCTTCCCTCTCTGCTGGGGTGAGGGATGCAATGGTTCCATCACTTGCGAACTCGGAGGTGAAGTTTGCCCACTTGTTTAAGGCTCCACAACAGAACTCGATCAGCATTTTACGAAGGTGTGGAAGGCATCCCCTCTTTTGCTCCTTCTTGAGTGCCTCAAACACTAATGGTTCGTGCCATATTCCTCTCATCAGGTGCCCCTTGTTCCCGTGCGTCGTTGTGTCAAGGAGTAAGTCCGGATTTGCGATTAAGCATTCCAGGTGCATCTTAAGTTGATCATGGAATGGTCCCATGTCTAACATATTTTGCGAGAGATAATCATCACATCGCATGGTCTCCATATATGGGATAGAGACTGCTAGACCAAAAAGTGCGAGGACAGCAAGCTCGGTCACTGTTGGCGCGTCCTGGAGACCTTTATAACAGTTCTCCTCTAGGTTTGTGAACCCTGGCTGATGTTTCCTATCTCTCCAGCTCTCCAAGAACTCGATATACTCGTCGCGCAGAATGAGCAACTCAATGGCTGCATATAGATGTGAGGCAAATCGGGTATTGCTGGTATCGGCAAAGCAACGGACACGCCCATGCTTCTCATGGAACCAATTCCAGTGTGCATCCTGACAACCCTTTTTATCGTCCTTGTGGTTGAATAGTGATCCACACAAGGATGTAAGTTTGATAGCCCCTGCTTCGGTCAAGGGTTCGTCGGCTTTTTTGGCATTTGTGAGGCCTGATTTGGTAAGCTCTTCCCGCGCGGCCTTTGCAACACCTAGTAAGGGAATTGGACCCGGCATACCAACATTTCTGATCTGAGACCACGCATCAGCCATAGCCTTGGCTCCAGCTTTGACAGTATTAAGATCTTTGTGCATCGCGCATCCACACCAGACAACAGTATCTATTGGGCGCTTCAGCTCTGGTGGTAGTTGCTGGTAAATAGCTTCTCCGAGTGTGCAGAGCCGTTCCAATGTGTGTGCATGGAAATGCTTTGTCTGTTCCTGATCGGTAAGTGTCAACCACGCTTGTACACCTTCGGGCTTGCCGATTAGGCTTGCAATAGTTTGATGGTTAAAATCCTCGCGAGACTTGTCACTCATGGTTTCGCAGTGCTGAATGCCAAGGAAAATCATCCATTCTTCACGTCTCCACTCCATTGTGAGACGAAAAAGTTTTTTCTGATCCTCAGCATGATCGGAATTCATCCCTTTTAGGTTCATAACCGCACTTCTAACCCCCAGATTTGGATTGAAATCGGCAAGTATGGGGCTTTTCGAGGCAGTACCAAAGAAAGAATGCATTGACTGCTTTATATTCTCCAGCTGATCTGCACTGCAGTGAGACGGCATTGCACGAACCCCCCAGGTTCTGACTTGCCGAGTTTCCCCAGGCTCGGCGTCTGAATATGTAGGGAACATTCCAGTAACATGGACGGACTCGTAGTTCACGTGTTTGTGTGTAGTTCCATCTGAGCTTAATGTGTAACCTTCGTGTTATTATTAGGCATCAGTCTGCTGTCAGTAAGCTAGTATAATCACCTGCTGTATTCTGCATCTCGACTCCAATCTGCATTTCAGCAGCAATTCCCCCTTCCCAAGCTGCCCGAGATGCCGATCTACGACTCGGCAACTTGTCGATCTCAATTCCAAATGTTTTGGCACAGGCTCTAATGACACCAGCCACCTTCGATGATGGGATCCCTTCTGCTAGCAGTTTGCGCATCAGAATGCGTGCACTGTTTGAATAGGCACCTTTTGCCTTAAGAGAAAGTCGTTTGGCTGCTTTCTGTGCAGCATAATGTCGCTTTTGAGATGCCCTCAGGCTCCCTTTCAGCTTCCCTTGATACCCCCTTACATCTCTCCTTGCTTTTCTCCACTTGGCTGAGTACCGGCCCACCTGCGTTTCAAGAACAATGGTCCGCGATTCCAGGATCATTATTTCTGTGGTTGCTTTCTTTATCTGGGTATCCTTTATTGAGAGTAGAGCCAATGAGTCACTGAGCTTCCCATTAGCGGTATTGTTGGCATTTTTGGATCGTGTGCAACGTTGCCGAAGGGTGTGAATGGTTTGTTTGAACTTGGTGCCTCTTTCTGAAAGTGAGTTGAGCTTGGAAAGCAGCCCATTGACTTGACGCCTTAGTCCGCCAATCTGTTGCCGGGGGTTTGAGATCTTTGATTCAATGGAAGGCTGGGGAGATGGAGAGCGGGAGGATTGGGATGGTGTTCTAGCATATGGTGAACTTGAGCGAGAATTACGACGTCCATCACTACGGGGTGGTGGAGCAAGGAGAAAGCTATCCTGTTCTGAGCTAGTATGACCCCAGCGTGCAAGACGGGCATGATAGAGTGCATTGGATTGGGCTTGAGTCTTTATTCCCATCTAATGTATTGAGCCTTGTGAGAAAGCAGACCAATATAAGCTAAGTAGGGAAGCCGGTACTTGTGTCAGTGCTAAGTACAGGTCAGATTCCAGGAACACAAGTCAAGATCAAGTGTCGAGGGAGCAGGTGGGCGGTGTTTGCCCCGACGCATCAGGGTGAAATTACAAATAAACCATAACAAAATTTTCCGTTTGTACTTTCTCTCTCCAGGATTGTCTAGAGAACTTATAAACCGGGGATATGGAGCAGATAGTGTATTTATACAAAATGGACAGAGGAATTTCGATGTAACTTCCTACAAACGAAGATATGGGTAAAATAGACTCATTTTCTCGATCACAACAAAGCCATTTTTGATTTTCTCAAAAATTCCTCTGTCCGATCTTTAGTTTAGGTTGTTCTGATTGATGTTTACTAATGAAGTTCCTCTTCATTTGTTGTGTGTGTTGAGAAAGTACATGAGACATTTATGGCACACTCGGCTACTACATTGGGCTTACATAATCAGGACACGGAACTAACCTGGGTTGCCCACCCCCAATGTTACCTTGCTTGCAAGGTCACTTCCAAACCCACAATTGCGTGGGAAAAAATGTGTTTATATTACATTTACTTCTCATGTGATTCCCAATAGCATGTGACCATTCAACGAAATTATGTATCATTGTGTTATGGTCGTCCCCCCTCGCCATCATCGTACCTGAAGTTCTCGGGTGTTTAGTGCATCGGTATAACTCAGTTAAGTATTAACCCGCGCCCGATGCCCTCGCTGCTTCCCAAGTAGTATTTGCCGGCATGTTCAACTTTTCGAAGCATATGTACTTGAGTCCGCCCGCTTCAAGGCTTCGTCCACAGGTCATGTACCAGCCATGGGCTGACAATAATGGAAGACAACCCCGGTACTCACTTCACAAATGGCAACATCGACCCTCACTTTACAAATGAGGACTTCGTGACTGCAAGTTCTCTGTCTTTGTCGGGCACCATAGTGCACTTGAGCGACATCCAACCCAAGTGGGCAAGATGGTGGGTAACGAAGCGAAACTCTCGGCCCCCCACCACTTTGCCGCGAGTTCCATTTGCGATGTTCAGATTATTGTTTAGGTTTGATGTCACCAGCATGTCACTTGATAGGCACTGAGAAGAGGACAACATACTCCGCACGTGTGGAGGAGATCATAGTGTTTAGAGACCCAGCTCCCCTCAGTAACCGTGTAGAAGGTGGCTCGCCTTCCAAACGACACTTCTCTGGACCACTTTCTCTCTGGTTAAGTACCGAAGGCAGGAGTAAGGGACGGTGCGTTCCCCTCTGCCAACCCTTTATACTTTTTATCGTTTCAGACCATCCTCGATTCAACTCATAGTGCTCATTATGTCTGTTAACTACAAAGAAAATGTCAACTGAGTGGGTGCTTGACGGATGGAGTGTCAAGGAATTAAATGACTAAAGCCAACTCCAATAACTGGCTCGTGGTCAGCATTGAGCAATGATGTGCAAGCAAGGTCATGGTTGCGAAGCAACCTTTCTAGTAAAGCAAGCGATTTGGATGAATGTCCGTGCGGGTCATGTGATCTTCCAAAAGAAAAGGCAGCAAATAAATGATGCACCCAAATCGGACGCGCGGATTTTTTTTTTGGCTTGCTCTAATATCCTGAGATTATCATATTACTAGCGGCCAGAAGCCCCCAGAGCTCTTTTAAAGCCGGTAGGCCCCTGTAAGCTTTCCTTGTCCTCGCTTCATCCTCACCACCTTTTTTTAAAAGATGAGTAGTCCGAGGGTTTACCGGTCGCCTTTGCGCTACGAAGATCACAATGTGGACAACATGTATCAATTGTTATTTGATAGTTCTCCCGTGATAAGTGTCCCTGACTCACAGATCGTGTACATCCATGCCCACACAAGCACCTCTCGGACACGCGGTCAGCATATCGATCGAGTCAAGAGGCTTGCCACTGCACTCGTAGGCAGGCAGGCCGACGGAGGATTGGGACTGACTAGGAATGAACGAGTCTGTATACTCTCCGAAAACCACATGGTAAGCAGGTTGAGTTTGCGCGAGGCGATACCGAACGGCACTTGCGCCCAGCCGATCATCGCTTTTGACTTTATTTTCATAAGATTTCAACATTATTGCCCATGCTTGCTTCTATTCTGGCATCCCCTGCGTTCTGATGAATATCCATGCGACAAAGGAAGAGCTTGTCCATGCGATCGACTCCACACCATCTCGGATTTTCATATCCGGACAGACTCTCACCAGTCATATAGAGTCTCTCAGGTACACCAGGACCTTTGCTAGAATCAGAAGCACCGTTAGGGATGGCAAGTCATTGAGAGGAATAGTTGACCTAAATGGTGGACGAGATTTGGATACTTTGCTCGCTGATACAAGGGATATGGATACTTCGCCCATGTGCAAGGTTAAGAGAAGCGATCTAGCCGTGAGCGAAGCACTATTGTGGATCTGAAGTGGTGCTGACGTAGCACCAGTGCATGCTTTTCTCTAGTGGTACTAGCGGGATGCCAAAGGCCGTCATGATTTCCCATGGTAACTTGTTGGTTCCATTCGTGCATCACTTTTGGAGCCTTGTTTAAAGTGAAAGTTACAGTATCTCGGCTATCTTTCAGGCTTCCGCTCATGTGCGAGCGTTGCTCAAGAGTGCGGGTGTGCCCCTACCACAGCAAATGATGAGGTTGACTACGATTCCGATGTATCACACGCAAGGTTTCTTCACCAGTTGTTTGAGGTACGATTTAATATCTCATAAAAGCTGGGATGGAATCAATCTGTTTGGCGATAGGAACCACTGTGTAGTTAACACCTGTGTGATCCTTCCGCGGTGGGAGGTCGAGGCGGCTCTAAAAGCTATACAAAAGTGGGTGAAGCTACAGCTCTGCTACATATTTAATACGCGGTACTTAGGTACAAAATCCAAGCGGCTTCGCTAGTACCAACGATGATCAGGCAGTTGGTTAACTCACCATTGTTAAAAGGGGTCGAACCAAATATTTTTCGGGAAGCCCTTCGGAACATGCCCGGAATTACCTCAGCTTCTGCTGCTCTGTCGCCACAACTCTTGGCACAATTGCAGGAGGTCTCATGCGAGTGATACTCACGTCACAGGTCTACCTCCAGTTAAATCTGTCAGTCTCCTCCACTGCAACTCTTGGCGTTCTCGTATTGATAGAGCTCCAACAAGTTCTTCGGGGCTACGGAAGCTGTAGGTGATTTGCATTGACTTCGGTTCCACCAACATATTCATCCTTGGGGTACAGACGATTGCAATTGCTGGCCCGTCGCTCACGCCTCCAAAATTAGCTCCACCGGGATTGTGCCATGGTACTAGGAGCTAATATGGAGGCCACTCTTTATCAAGACGATGTCAAATCAGAGTCCGATGGGCACGGTGGCCTACCGGAGGGGTTCTCGATCGGAGAGTTGTACCTTCGTGGACCGAATGTGGCCTTGGGGTATTGGATGAACGAGACTGCAACGAGGGACACCTTTGGTGTCAGTGTACCTGGCGCTGAGGGAAGTGATTGGCTTAGAACTGGTGACTGTGTGAGCCTTGACTCATCAATTGGGCCAATGCATATACCCAATGACTCCCCTTTCGATATAACAAGTTTATCGCCGATCAGGATGGGAACCTGTGGTTCGTGGATCGACTCAAGGTTTGTTATGAATCCTTTAATTTTTTTCCTCATGCACGCCTACTCTCTTCACACTAGGATGTCATGAAGATATTAGGAACACAGGTCACTCCCGGCGAAATTGAAGAAGCTATTCATAGACGTTGCCAGAAGTTCGTCAGCGAAGTTTCAGTCGCAGGAGTTAACGCCTCTTCAGTTTTGGCATCCCCTCTGCCACGCCTTACGCATCTGGACAGACTGCGGAGGTTATCTGCTGAGACTGAGGAGCTAGTTCCGCGTGCTTTCGTCGTGTTGTCTGGTGAAGGAAGGCGAATCGGTGAGGAGAAATGCGTAGAGATGATTGATGCTGCTGTGTGTGCGGGGCTAAGTAAACCTAAGTGGTTAGTGGGCGGGATTCAGTTTGTTGATGCAGTGAGTTCTTCATTGCGCTTTCTGAAGGAATGGCGGTGGCATCGATCCCGATCTTATATCTCCCCATGATCCTAGATACCTAAGAATGGCACCGGGAAACCTCTGCGACGCTCACTGAGAAACTTGTTTGAGAGTCGATATCCTCTCAAGCGTACCCGTTTATAGGAATTCTCATTGTCCTTAGTGCTAAGTCCCTGCTTTTATCCCTGCCTAACATAACCCTTGTGTGCTTGCCATATAACTTGATCATCTATCGGAGTGGAATTGGACATTCACGCATCAACGATGGGGGGTTGCCAAAATCACTATCCCACGTCGCTGTTTATGCATATGCTGAGGAGTGAATCCATTTGTGGTGTTCACTCCACATCGAGTCAATGTTCAAGAGCACAGAATGTTGGTGAGGTAGAAACATCACTCCGTAGCTAGAGGGCTTTTGAGAGGTCGCGAACGGCTCTTCTACATTGCTTGATGTCGACTCGGCTTTGTTTCGGTGGGACTAGATTTCTACGTTCATCAGATTAGCGAGGACTTGCAGGAAGGTCATGATATTCACCTTTGGTAAGTCGTGAGCGTGCCTCCCCTGGGTCGGCTGGAGCCGAAGGTCCATATAGTACATTCAGCTTAAGCTGCGCTCCGAGGCCTAAGGCTCTCTGTCGTGCAACCATTCCAAGTGAGTGGAATTCACCTATTGATCAACTTTTCCACCATTGCTTTAGCAGCCTTTCCTTCGGAAAACGCAATGGGAAGCCTCTCCCAGCGGCCTCTGCTCAGCTTGAGGCTGCTTCTGGCAGTTCAACTCAGGATGATGCTCTTCGAGTCGTTCCTGGAGCCAATGCTATATCATATATGATGCCGTGCGCCCCCTCACCTCCTGTAGCTGAAGTGTCTAAAGTCATATGTGCGGGCCTGGCACCACGTTGAATACTTCTCTTCCCTCACATCGTAGCATTGTTTCGTCCGCCGCGGCGATCCTGGCAGTAGGCAGTACTAGCATGCCCCTCACATCTTGTATGGCGTTTCTTCAAGCTTCGTGTTTCCTCCGACACCCGCCATTGAGCATTCAAAGGGCGATGGCGAAGAGTGGCACAGCTTGAATGCTATGCCACGGCTCAATGGATATCGGCCCAGATTTAACATAGACAACATAGATTCCACATCTGATGGACGAAGACCGCTCTCGGCTAACGATTTAACTGTCAACTAGATTCTTGCAGCGGCGCATCAGAGCCACCACTCCATGACATGCACAACATACAAGCTCTCTGAAGACGCATACTTCGCTCAGGTTTGCATGAACCCTTTACAGCTAATCCTTAGAGCCGGCGACAGACATCTTGCTGCCTGCTGGAAAATCAGGGAAGGGTTACGATGGGATATATAAACCCAACCGTGCACCTTGCGTCCGAGTTACAGTAAAGGTCTTGCTTTCCATGACTTCCTGACACATCCAGGTTGGGATCGATGCTACCGTACAGGCACGAATGTTACTGGTCCAGTGGAACAGACACCCATCTTTGACCGCTAATTATCCGTGCCGCGTCGTATGTCTGCACGATCAGCAGGGCCGCAGCCAGTTCACCATGCGTTCCACGGCCGATGCAGTTCAAATCCGAATGGTTGGCCAGATGGCACACCGCATGCCGCTGCGTGTCCTTCATGAGTTGATAGGCGGCCTCGACAAGAAGTGGTTCGGACCCAGGAATAGTAATCATGTTTTCGAGTCCAGGAGTCGCTGTAACGCAGAGCCACATATACCGTTCAACCTGTGCATGGCGTACGTCGCGAGCTGGAACGTCCATGTTGAACTCCGGCGCGAAATGTACGGAGAGGCAGGCCAGGGAATCAGCCGGATTGCCTATCCGCTCATTCGGACCGTTCAGCAGTTTCTGCTTCGCGTAGTCTATAATCATTGATTTGTGTTTGCGTCCCGGTTGCAGCTAAGACCCGAATCTGCTCGAAGTGGTATGAAAGCTGTTCTCTAAAGGGATGACTGGGGTGGACACACAATGGGCGGCCAAGATGGGGAATCCAATTGGTTTCTACCACTCTGTCTATCTTGACAGTGCACTTCAATGTTCAATGCCGAGTATGCAATGTCATCGAAGCTGATTTCGGAAATCGGATTCGGGAGACATTTGTTAGGTTCTGGGGATTTATTGAAGCGCCCTGTTGTCGAAATCAACAGTGAAGATCTTGGATTTGTCGTAGAATTCGACGCAGCTCCATGAACAGGTTCCTATGTTTTGGGTCTCGCGGGCTATCGGTGAGGACATGAGCCTGGTCAAAAGCGGAGGCCTTCGTGAGCCGGGCCTTTGTCCAATTCCAAATCCTTGCGTTCATCTATGAAGCGACAGAGCTTTTCACCTGGCTCTTGTAGGCCCTTGCCTCTGGGGACATGTTCAGCTTCATTTTCATCGCTAACTTGGTTGCTGTTTTCCGCGCGTAAATTATTCGCTTCGCCCGACACTCTCATGGCCAATATTGTGAAAACATTTCAAGGAGCTGGAAACAGGTGTACCGGGAACTCGTATTTCCCAAGATAAGCCCCAAATACATACATATGTATTGCGAAGACTACTGGGGTACCAAAAGAAACAGCAAAGTAAGCAACTAACTATTCATTTTTGATTTTATTTCTTTTTTCCACCGTCTCTCTCTTTCCTTTCTGGCACTGAAATCGTTGGAGATAGGAGTCGGAAAAAAGAACGAACCGCAGCGATCCATTTAGTAGTTTGCGAGTCGATGAGGCATGGCTTGTATATAGGTGACAATGATCGATCGTTTGTCCGTGACTGGCAAATTTTCGCGGTATGAAAGTGCATCCAGGGGCGGACTTTGAGGGCCCACTAAAGAGAGGCTGGTCATAATTGTGTTACTCGGCGTGCAAGTCCAATCTGGTGGTATATAGGAGCGGAGACCTTGGCATATCTATGGAACTTATGAGTTACCACATTGCCAATGCACTGAACTTACCCAAAGGTCTCACATCCAGCCATCGCTTAACAACTGTTGTGCCGTACGTCCTCGATCTCTGCTGCCTTACTCCCATGCTGGGAGCGGCGGGCGGGCGGGTGCGATCTGTGTCTTCGGTATAATAGGACTGAAACCATCCGACGAAACAACTCGATTGTCCATACACATAATACTTCATTCAGGCCACGAGTACGCGTCGCCTGGAACTCTGCTTCTCGTCGCTGAAGCCCTGGCCGCTGGCTGGAAGCTGGCGCGCTAATGCTCAACACTTCCGACAAGCAATTGGCTGAGCCTTTACCAATGAGATCTTCATTCGCAACGTCCTCAATTCAGGGAAGCCCAGAAGTAATGGCACCGATGGGTCCTGTCCACACCCATGCAAGCAGTCCCTTGGCCTGTGCTGGGCAATCGTCCTATGTCACAACGGTTCAACGTCATCATTAAACAAGGAGGGGAGTTGGAGAATCACGAACCACAACGATATCATCGCCACAGGCTAAACTCAAGGCTAAATCTCTACGCTTTTTTGCTAGCTGTTACACTCACTGTCATTCTAAGCGGCTCCTTCTTGCACACCAAGGTTCGCCTAATTTTCCTCAACTCAGCAGCAACCTAGCTCGGAGCTTTCTCCAAGATCCGATGAACACATGGGCGACGCCTCAATGTTAAGCTCCAGGCATCACTGTGCACTGAGGAATCGAGACTGATAGCGCCATTGACATGGCATGAAGGCAAACTCATTGGTGAGCAGGGACGGTCGAATGGTCGACGTGAAACGCGCCGAGGACTATCAGCCAACATCCAACCAGAGACGTGCAACGATGGCATAAAAACGAACCGTGGGGTATGGCGACCTGCCCAGTCGCAGTTCGATCATGCCAACACCCACAAGACAACTTGAAGACCACTTGCGGATGCGCTACACCCGTCACGCCAGCGTCGGGCGTGAGAAGAGAGATGCCGCTAAGGTGAACACAACGTGGCCTAAGCCAGGGGATAGATCAAGTTGGTGATGAATTCGCGGGACATTGTAGATGCATGGGAAGAGACCCGAGCACAAACAGCGACTAAAATCTAGCAGGTCGCGTCGCGTACGTTTTGTCATTTGAGTCTGCAACCAAGTTTTGTGTTGGATAAACAAGCCATGACGACGTGTCGGCACGCGTATCAGTTACTGATATGTTCACCGTTGACTGTGCTCCACATGTAGCGCTTACGTGCGTATTTTTCCTTTATTAGTTTTGTCTCATCATGTTATTAGTCTAGCTACTCATACCGCTGCGCGGTTACAATGTTACAAGTGTGAGATCTTCCCCCGTTGAGTATCCCCACTGAGTGCTACATATGTAACAAGATTTTGGACATCGATTGATCATTCCATTGGCTTGTACAACAAATATAACAATGAAGATAATATGTAAACGGCAGTACATATGACCGACGACCCGCCAAATTGTCCCTCAATCACAAATATAACAATGAAGATAATATACATGTAAACGGTACATGCGACCGACGACCCGCCGAATTGTCCCTCACTCAACGACACACGATCCGAGAAGGTCGAGGGTTTCTTGCATCGTCCAGAGGCCTTCCTGGATGCCGGACAGGATGCTCTTCGAGATGCACTTGAGAACCGTGGACGGTTGCCCCACGATTCGACCTGCAGCCAGATGCGGATCAGTACGATTAGAGCTTCAGCGGACCGAAACCACATACCTCGGTGCCTTCGAGGGGGTCAAAGTTCGGGGGGGGGGGCTTCGCGAGGTCGTAGGCCTTGAGGGTCAGCCTCACCCGCTTGACGACAATGACGTTGTTCGGTGCCTTTGCGAGATGTGTGTCAGACAGCGTCCATACGAAACCATCGCATCCAACCAAAATCGGGCTTACCAAATGTTGGTTCGCCGACCACAAGGTCATGCTCACTTGGTCGTTGTTCACGTCTTGTGTGCGACACGATGACAATGTCATAGTTAGTGATGGTGAGGTCAAAGCTGGTTGCATCCGACTTGAGCGCCGCGCGTAAATTATAGTGTTCAGAACCGAATTCAACGTTTAATTTTGTACTACGTATCCAGCATCATGGAGCATACCAGAATTAGGCAATCAAAGTCAAGCTACCAGATTCAGATTGGAACACGTAACGATTGAAGGGTTGCGGGAGAATTGCGAGTGCTGTGGCGTTCTGCCGCCGAGCAAACCAGAGTGGCTTCTCTGCTAGTTGGGAGTGAAAATTAACATTTTGATATTTCTTGGCGCACGTCACACAGTGTGTCAACCCATGATGGGTTATAATTCCTGCACTACACGAATACAATCGAGTGATTCTTGATTGGATACTTGCAGACTAGATCCGTGCCGGTGGCTCTCGAAGCCGTTGTTCACGGGGAACCCCTTCGATATCTGCTCATGAATCGGGATCGATATCTTTTAAGCCTTTAATGTACTCCAGCGAGCCATTAATGCATGTACGTGCGTCCTGCGCATATATATATATAACATCACCCATCTGCTTAATTCGCTAATCTAACACCCAGGCTCCTTGCTAGTCAGTCAATCTTGGGGTCGGAGGACTCATGGCGGCCAGGAGCCGTAATGAGCCCTAGTTCGCCGACCACAAGGTCGACTGTGCGGTTACTCAGGGGACAACGGGGGTTCAAGTTTAACTATATCAATAGCAAACTCGAGAAACCGGTTCTTCTCACAAAAGATGGTGAAGGACATGCACCTTCTCGACCAACTCAATTATCTCATGGTAGAAAGTTTTTTAATTACGATTCGAAGCATGATATGATTGTTCCGTGGTCGAATAACGCCAACCTCCTATGGTGATCTACGACTAATGATAAGAACGGAAAACCTTCGCCTCTCAGACGTAAACATATCGATACCGTCACAATCCTCGTGCCAAGTTGATCCACCATGCGCGACATGCCAGTTCCGGATGAATTTACGATGCTCGTCAGGCAGGTGACCAGCTTCTTAGTTCTGTCCTTGTCCTTGGAAAGGTGATCGCCATAGTATTCACCGCGTACGAAGAGCTGTGTCCGCATCGGTAGTCTCTGGCTCAGGTTTTAGAAACGCTCCTGGAGAATATGGTAACCAGGGTGCTTGGCGCCAGAAGGCAGAGAGCAAGGTACCATTCGCTACCATACTTCTCAGCAACTCGATAAGTTCTCGCTCGCTCTCGATATAAGCATCGGATTCGGATTCGTTTCTAAGATGTTCTTTTATGTTCGGATCCCCGGCCCTATCGAGAGCGCTGTGGATGATGAACCAGGCAATGCCCAGGTTTTGCTTAATCCAATCGTATCACGTTCAGAACGAAAAACCCGTAAGAGATTTACAACTTGTTGGATAGCCTTCTCTAATGTCGTGACAGTACTCGGGAGCTTGAATGGATGGGGTGCAGATGGATCTCCAAGCACTTGTTGAAGGTTCTGGCTGGAAGACATGATTAGGGAGGGAGATAGTGGCGAGTGTACGCGTGACATCCATCGTAATAGGGTGCAGCGGAGCCAAAAAAAAACGCGTGGCGTCAATAGTAAAATTGACAACCATAATCACTTGTAAAATTATCCATTAGGCACAGAATGTCGTAGTTTAGTCTGTGTGACGAGGATGCAGCGTTGAAAATAGGAGTGTATGAACAACTTTTCTGATGCCAACCCAGCCTGTGACGTGAGACAGGATTTCCACTTCCGTGCGCGGAAGGTTCCTCGTTCAGAGACTCAGCTGCAAATATCCTTGACGCAGGACTGCGAGACCGCACTCCCTTTTACACCGCTACCTCGGTTCGTCGTCTCAGTGCATTTTTTTTCGATGCAAAAGCGAGGCAACAACGAACGGGAAGTCTTGGCATAGAAGCAAGTATGATATCAAGCTAGGGCTCAAAGCAAAGAGATACCTTAGTTCGAAGATGTTGCAATAACGCCTTTGCATTCACCGATATTCCCAATTGCACAGCGGGAAAAAGTTCTGCGCTCAGGGAAAGCACTCGATACACTCCAGGGTGAAGGCCATCTGTGACAAAAGGAGAATCGCGTGGCCACCAGATATGAACGCTTCGCACGCACTGCTGCTCAAACTCAAAGACGACGACCAAAAGGAGCGTCCCACTTCCTGACCACACTGACAGCTGGGGAGGTCATACGAGCGGCTGACTCCGTAGCATCAATCATGTGAATATACTCACGTGGTTTAAACCCTTGTTGAGCCGCAATCGCTGCGATCGTTCGCGCCTGTTAGCTACCTGATATCCACCTCACATCCATCCTCTTTAATCCCTAATCATGGTGAGTAGAGCTGCCCTTGAACTCTTTTCCACTCCCAATCTTTCACTTACTGTGTTCTACATCTCAAACTTCTGCGATCTTCCGCACCCTGATCGTCGTGATCGCGATCCGCGCACTTCCCCAGTCTTCTGGAGTAGGGGTCAATGATAATTGCTTGACCGAATTCCAAGTCATCAAGCTCGGAAAGAAGTACAGATATGTCATCTACAAACTCAGCGCCGACAACAAGGAGATTGTTGTTGACAAGACTGGGCCTATTGACTCAACCTACGATTCCTTCACGGCCGAGCTACCCGAAGCCGAGCCACGATGGGTTGTCTATGATTTTGAGTACAAACTGGACGAGGGTGGTCAGCGGAACAAATTGACTTTTATTTCTTGGTGGGTTCTTGTTTTTGTTCGACAAGCCGGAAAATGGAATAAGCGCGCTCGAAAGGTCCCCCGATGACGCAAAGATTAGGCCGAAGATGCTTTATGCGTCTTCGAGAGATGCTTTGCGCCGAAGGCTTGACGGTATTGCGCTTGAAATACAAGGAACTGCTTTCGACGAGGTTTCATACGAAGCCAGTAAGCAATAACGTAGTTTCTATTTCAAAGGGCTTTTTTCGCTTATCACGCATGCGTAGTTCTGGATAAGGCTAAGCGGAGTGCTAGATGAACTTCTATGCTCGAGCTTCGTAGGGGCGCTGGTGTAGATCGAGCTATGCCTGTGCCTTCCTAAATACCAGAGAATATGTATCTCCAAATCTGTGTAAGAAGAAGAGGACGTGATGGACATAATTAATGCCTATTAGTCTCTAGTCTTCAAGGAACTGACATTTGTCCATGCATATTATCTCGGAATGAATTTGAGTTGAATCTCCCCACAAGGCGTCAATGTGCCCACACAAAGCACCAGAGCATCCTTCATGAGCTCTTCGGACATACGAGGATTCCCAACTTGAAAGCGGAAGAACCGAAACCATGGCATGTTTGGCATTGGTTTGGCACCAACCCACAACCAAATCTACAGCAAGGAGGCCTCCAGGATGCAGAAGGGAGCGAGAAGGAAGTTGACCAGAGGGTACATATAACGTAATATTATAAGAGTGTTGATTTTGAACGTTCGAAGGGGGCGGCTTAGTATACTAACGTTAAAATAGTCTAGAGTCCAGGTATAACTTCTGGAAGTAAGACCTGTCATCGAGGTCAGTGCGGATCTCAGCTGAGGCAGTAGTAGACGAACCGAAAGTCGCATCACCCAATGTCTGCAAAATTACGCCAGCTCTTGCCATGGATTTCCTGTTGTGATCGTTGACCCAATCCAAGTGCTTGGCTACGCTTTTTATAAAGGGATTGGCACTGTCACCTAGCGTATAGCTGGCGAAGGACTCTGGCAGCACTCCGACGTCTCGAAAATCAAACATGCAGACCCTTTGGTGTTCATCGAGGGCGAAATTGCTCTCGTCCATGTCGGACTGGGTGAAGATGAGCCGGTCATTGAGAAGATTCATATATGCTGGTCGGTCTCCTGAATGAATATTTTGAAGTGCCTGATTAAGCAGATAATCAGCGCGACCAATTGCGAGGGAAAAGCAAGAGCAGAGATATACCAAGTTCATGTAGTTCTGCAGAGTTTCCGAACTCGAGAAGGATAGCGGCGCCTCGAAGTCCTTGAAGAGTTTATGGCGGGCGCCGCCACCTCCAACTGAGCCGAGTGTGAGGCCAGAGGGGGGAGGGACAGAACAGAGCCATTCTATAGCTGTGGCGACGGCTTGAGGGGAAGTATTGGCAGGCAAAATGGGATCGATGCGCTCGGTGACCAAGTATGCCCACTGTTTCTTAGGGGAAAAGTAGGCTAGGACCTGGGGAATGCGAAGTGCCTCCTGATGGCCATCCGCCATGCTCCAGAGATAACTTTGCGTCTTGTATTCCAACTCCAGATCTGCATGGCCGCCATACTTGATGAACCACGATCCCAGAACTACGCAACGATGGTAGTAGGGGCGAAGGCGATGTTCTTTTTCATGGAGCTCACAGACCTGAATAATTGTCGATTGCTCAGAGGACGAGGGAGGCCGCATGGCGAAGCTCGCTAGAAGAAAAATGAGATGGATATAGGCAGACGACGATAAAGCAGCGAACTCACGAGAGGTGAGAACAGTAATAGGAAAGGGTTACAATGATGAATACTGAGCGGAGTAATAGCGGCAAAGGGAGGAGAGGGAGGAGTGCAAAACTCTCGATCCCAACCCCTTCGGCTTGGTGGCTGTACTGAGGCCAACTTAGACTGGCTTTTAGTCTCACGTGAGTGTGGGAGCCAACCACAATCGGACTGAACGACTGACTCCCCGGACTCACGCAGGTCCGTTGTTCGCCGAGGCTTGCTCAGCCATAGGAACAGGCGTGTCATCACGGTTATGGGAGAAAGTACTTGTGCCATGCCGCAGCAGCGGCCGGGTTCGCGTGCATCCAATTTCTAATCATGCTCCCTCCTAGAGCAGCGCGTGCTTCATTGCGGGGAAGTAGCCGCTATTGCCGGTTTTCCTTAGGCAACTATGGGTCCCAGAATATTGCAAGCGGGCGAGAGCCTTCACGGAGAGCCAGGAGGCTAGAATTGCCAAGAAGTTCATTATGTATTTCCTACCATCTCCATGTTAGTGGTCAACTGTGATTTCCTCTTGTCACGCGTTCTTTATCAATCCAGGCCCATCACACTCGCAGTATCCATGAACAGTCGCCCTAAGTTTAGGGTTATGACCGGAAAAATTGAAATATATCCCTTGATCACTTGCTGCATTGGCAAGACGTTCTTCCACGCTCGCATTCAGAAGATGTCCTCGTCAGCAGCAACTCATTATCAAAGAAATCCCTACATAGTGTCTAGGCCCAAGATCCCATTTCGTTTGCTCCGATGTATAAACCGCGGCTGCGGCCTCGCCTGGTCATGGTCTCCAATCTCGCACAGTTACATTTTTCTCGGCGCTAATGGACAGAAAACAAGGGGTTATGCTGTACAGACCTTGCGACTCACAAGGTAGATTTTCGAATCGCTTCGCCCTGTTCTTGTCGCTCTATTGCACGCCTCCGTTCTATGCACCCACCGTCGTGTACCCAATGTCGCGGTAGTCATCGATAAATGGAAGTGAGGCGTCGTGTCCTACGTAGGTGCGATGACACACCATTCTCACTATCTCATTGCCAAAGGTTCTCACTTTCCGCCGAGTCTATTGTCGAATCTCACACACTCGCGTAGCTTCATCAGGCCCGTTAATTGTATATCGCCACACAGCGGACCGGGAACAAGAAGACGCGCGACTTATGTACGTATTTGGAAACTTCTTTTTCATTTCCAGCTATCACAAGTATACGTTATTGACTAGATGCGTAGTTCCCGTCGTGTAGCACAAGATATGTACAAAGTATGCACCCTCTGACGGTTGTAAACAATCTGCAGAACAATCACCCACTGTCAATGGCAATTGAGAATTTGGAACTGGAATCCATTTGGATGGAAGTCACCTTGTTGAGAACGGTCGGTGCGTGTCCGAAATTTCCAGTTGAAGTTTCAGACACTATTATCCTGGCAATCGAAATTCAGGAGCTTGGTCCACGGATTTTCTGCAGCGTCAGCGCCGATATCGTTAACAATGGTCGGTCAGGAAGGCGGCGTCCTTGATATCGATCTCGTGAGCAACGCAAGAATTACGTAAGTTCGGTATCGCGGATTCTGGCCGCTTGTGCTGCATCAACCCCGTATCCAACTTTCGTTCATCCGCCAGCGCTGATTCTTCCTGTTCAGCGCTCTCATATATGGGCACCGGTGGCTTATTTGCCTACATCGACGAATAGCTCGCTGATTGGAATCTTTTCTTCCTCAACACGCCGAATGCTCCACTTAGAACCTTATGAATAGCACCACTGATATCAACCGATATCTGGCTGTTACAATTCTCGCGCGCCTTCCACATTGTGCCAGGGTCAGCACCCATGGTTATCCGTGCAACATCTATTGCCCATCCATTGCACCTACCATTGGCCAATGCATATTCCTCACGTTATCATGCAGGAGATCTCGGTTCTCTCAGTTCTCGTTTTTCCATAGCCGCGCGTGTCCTCATGCACATGGTCATCGAACGCTGCATCTTTGATTCAGGTATCCGATAACTACACGGAATGAAGCTTCATATTGCACATGCGCAACCTCTTCTAGCGATAGGCCTTCCTGAAAGCACTTAGAATCACACATCCTGCAGTGCATGGCCTACTGAATCGCGAGCTTGGCCGGCCGGGTCTCATTCTGCATGCCTTTGTGTGTCGTGAAGGGTGGATTTATAGCCGAATAGACCGAACTGACTGTCGTGCTCATCGAAAAGTATATGTCACTGCGTATCCGGATGCTCAGAGCAACGGGGTACATTCGCATCATTTTTCCACCTTGGATAAAACTTCCCTTCTTTTCAAACCACAACATAATGTGATTTACCTGAGGGAACGAATTCGTTGAGATACTGGGTTCTTCTCAGTTGAGCACGTTCCATCTTCAGCACCTCCAGGACAACGGCTTTGCTTGCTTACAGTGTCTGAATGACGTACCCGGGCACTGCGTGAATGCCCGCTGGTAGCATGATATCGTTTTCCCGGAATCTTTCTTGTGCCACCTCTGGCTTGCGGCGTGGATGATCCGAGAATCAGCCCTCTCGAACATAAATTATGCTCGGAATCTCTCACATCCCGCAACGTGTGGATGCCGAAACAAAAAAACTTGATGATCGACCGATTTTCTGTTGTGCATCGTTCTGCGTACATTTCTGTGTGGTGAGGCTAGACCTCTAGAATGAATTGCCACCAGCTGCGTTCATTGAAGAGCTAGAGGGTCACTGCGTATCCGGATGATCGAGAGCGGCGGGCAAATGCATTGCGCGTCGTTCTCCCACTCTGGACAACATTCTCACTTCTTTCATATGTATGATATCGAGTAGACGATATGATGTGCCTGAGCTAGCAAATTCACTCAGGCACTGGGTTCCTCTCAGTTGAAGTTAAGAGGTACAGGTGTTCATTTTCAGTCACTCCAGGGCAGTGACTTCGCTCGCAGCGAAAGTCTGTAATGGATAATATAATCCCTGGCACTGCGTGGATGCCTGCCGGCAGCATGCATCGTATCATTACATATCGGAATCTGATGCTTCTAATTGTCATTTTTCCCGGTATGTTAAGACAAATCCGCCAATGTTAAGTGTCATTCAGAACCTTCTGGATTCAAATTTCTATTCAACTCCAACTCTTTGCCAACAATGCATGAGCAACCCTCGTTAATTGCGATGGGTGGGACGGTACGACGAGGTAGCACCTCGAGGAAAGGCCACAACGATCACTGTCAAGTGAGTGCTTGCACCTCGTGTCAGGCCATCTCGCTCGCCTGAGTCCCGGATTCGGCTGCCGTAACCCCTTCCTCTTGCTAGCTCCGTTACTCCATATAGACTGAGGTGCGAATACGAATAGGATCAACCGCAAATTGAGTGATGAAATTATTCTTAGCTCATCATGGGTAAAACGAATCCATCGCCGCTTCTCCTGATCGAACGGGCGTTGGGAGAGATCGGGGAGAACGTGCTGGCGAATCTCAAATCTCCGTTCGAGTACTCGGTGACCTGCAGTGTATATTGGGTCCAGATGTGCAGGGACGACGGGGGTCCCTCGAAAGTACTTTACCTACACAGCTCTTGCTGAATTATAATGGCAGGCAAGAGCTGTCAATAAATTTGTAACCAGAAGTCGGCATTCTTGCGAGTTGATTTTTTGGGGATGGACGCGTAAATTGTTGGGATTTGATAAACTGGAACGTCTGGATTCACATAACATCACCAGCACCAGGGGAATAGCCATTCACCCGGACGATGGAAGATTGAGACTCCTCAGATCAAACTTCTACTTAATTTATTTCCCTGTGTTCGCGCTTAGACAAATGATTTGCCCTCTCTTTAAAAGGGATATTCGATTCATTACAATTCCACTTTTAGCATTATAAAACTCCTACAGTGTGTGCTCTTTGACTTGTACATCGTACACGTGCTTCGCCACCGTTGAATCCAACGGAGCACGAGGAGCATTAGAACTCGAGCATCGCCTGATAGCTTTGAGAAAGTCTCGATGTTCATTATACGATGTCAACAAAAAAAGATCTTGAATGCCATGCTAAGGAATAGCTGCCTGCCATCGAACAAGAGGCACTGCTCAGAGACTGGAATGCGAGTCAAGTACTGTATCTTTATTTCGAGATCATTGATCGTATCGTTGGATTCGGCATGGATGGAGGAGACTACTGTGCGTCCCCTCTAGACCTGTGAAAAAAAAAATGAAAATGGTTCCAAGAGGTATCGCATTATCGATGAAAAAAAAGGGTGCGACCGTCCTCGAGCTGCATACATGCATATTTGCAAGGACTTCACCTGTGTGGAGGGCGATAAGTCTTGCCAGGAAGAAAAAAAATATGAGGAGAAGTTAAAGTTAGAAATAGGCGAGTTCGTTTGGGGTTCGTTTGGAACAACTGAGAGGCTCAATAGCAACTGAGTTAAACCCAACGTGTTGACATGAGCACGTCAAGATGAACGCCAACTGAACCAGCCAGAAGATACTGTGGCACATAGGTGGATTAACAACACCTAACAAGAGTAGTTTGTGTCACTACTGTTCGTGCAAGAAAAGGTATAGTCAGTCACATGTCCCCTCGGGCATATTGATCTGGTTTGCACTACATTTTTTTGCGCGAATTACCTTTCTAGTCAGTGAACGTCAGAGCGACGTCAGGACAGCAAATTCCGCTCAAAGACGAGAAGAGTGTGGGAAAGAGTGTGGTAGGAACTGGTTCATCACGTGCACACCCCCAGTGCTTGCGCTGGCGCCCCATGCGTATGCGCACTACCAGTGGGCCGGCCCGGGGCCTGATATCATTCTTGTTGGCAGCTAGAGTATAGTGCATGCTTCCATGTAGGCGGGGACACCTGCGTCTGCCTGTACTTCCCTAGGTTTTTCCTCCTAGGTAAATAACTCTGGGCTCCAAAAAAAAAAAAAAATGCAACGCCAATGATCGACAGCCTTTCCATCTGCATGGCGAGGAGGCTAGGGGCTAGGCCCAAGAAGTTTATTCTGTGGTCATCTCCGTGTCGTTCCGCTCGGGAAATGTGGCCTACCTATACTAGACTCGGATGTTGTCTTGACGAGTGGTTCCCCCCCCAATTACGCGTTCCTCACCAATCATATCCTCGGGAAGACTGCCTTAAATTCAAGGCCATGATGTAGCACAACATCACCTTTTGTTTGAATCCTATGTGGACAGCGGTTGCCCTCGGTCTAGACAAGATTTTCGAATTTTTTTTTTCTTGTCGCACAGCTATATTTGACTTCGTACTGGTCCACCGAAGACAGAGGAGGGTCATGATGGTGTATATACACCTTCCGCTTCGTCGTTGCCACCCTCCCCCAAAAGCACGTCTCCGCTGATTGTGATCGCGCGCTGGAAATCCTTGTCACTGGGTCGAATGCAATGATAGATCCTCAGCGGTTTACCCTTGGCCTAACTCTCCTGAGCTGGCCTTCATCTTTCGTGCACGTTCTGTTCACCGTCGCCATCGATGAACGCAAGTGAGGCGTTCATGCGCGTATGTGATCAAAAGCAGCTTCGTCTACCTAAGGCTCGCTCATTTCGCCGTGTCCTATAGTCGACCCTCCATACGCTAGCATAGATTTAGTAGAGAATGTCCGACCCATTAAATAATTTGACGTTGTTGCATAACCTCCCCCGGAAACGAAAAAAAAAAAATTACAAACCCAAAACATTATGACATTCCCTTTTCCAACTCCATCGTTACTATCGATCTTACTATCGCTGCTTACGATAGTTGGAAGGCCAAGCGGTCATAAGTGGGAAGTCCCTGATCCGGTCGCGGTGTTGTAACAAGGATCGATGCAACCCATTGAGGGAGCCCCGGCATCGCGGCTTCTGACCGGTTTCACGGCATCTCAATTCGTCTTGGTACTCCGGGCCTGCTCGCTCTCAGGGGTGTACACTGGTGGGCCGCTTGTTTGCGCACTAACGTACACGAACGAAGAGCTCGTTGATCGGAAATGTGGATCCCTAAATTGGAATCTTTTTTTTCCCGAGTCCCCCCATGTCCCAGTGCAATCTCAAGTACCCCATACTGCCAATATATAACCGGTATCTGGTGCCGGCTACGATCATTGATCATGTAACATCCGGCCGCATTACTTGACGATATCGGACACGATACCACAAAAGTTCTACCTAGTAGCTTCAGCCCATGGGTCTCAACCTGCTTTAGTTCTCGTCCCTCCCTCCCCCTCTTTGTCATATGCTCATTTGCATGCACGGGGTCAACCGAATTCTAGGGTCTATATTGAGATCCCTGATACTCACGCCACTTCAAGTCGATGAGTCGGGAGGAAGCTCCACATCGTTCCTTGCACGTGCAAAGTACTTTGCTGGTCCAGGTGCTCGCGGCGTCAACTATCACTAGTCTTCTTGAATTAATCCTGAAATGTAAATGGTTTTACTATAATCACAAGCTTGACCATTCACGATTCTCTGTTCCATCAAGTTATTCTAATAGAGGCTGGGTAACCTGCGTTAGCCCGTGCTCATCGAAGGGTATATATATCTCAACTGCATATATCCAAGATGACCAAGTACATCCATTCGCTCCACACGTAATGACATGGAATGCAGAATAGAACTTCACTGAGGACAACGAACTCGCTCAGATGGCGACGAATTCCTCATAATTGTTTTACTATTCATCTCTAAGAAACGATGTTGCGGCTTCGATCGCTTGTTCATTGCGCAAAACGCCAGGGATTCCGCCGGAAGCATCGCGTGTCCCAGGCCCCTGATCACGAAGTCTGAATCTTCTTGAACTATTTACTCATTCTATTACATATTCTCCCAGTGTGTATGTAGAACATGGGGTTGTTATGGAGTTGTCTAAATCCGTGGATGCTGACCTCGACCCATACATAAGATTGAGAATGTTATGTATCACCAGTTGAGCCTATAGGCAGGTTACCAGCCTCTATATATATTGAGCCTAGTGCATGACAGTACATTGATCAATATAGCTCTATCTCTCGTTACTTTGCAATGGATGTGATGGAATGGCGAGGTATGCCGTTGTTCCAAGAAAAAGACGATCGACAACACCTTTTTTGCTTCGGATCGATCAATCATATTTTGCCCACCCGAATCCCGGAATCGAACACCTAGCGCTTCTTCTTCTCTCTCTCTCTCACCAGATCTCTATGTAACTCCATATAGTCACTATACAATATGGCCGCCTAGTAGTGCATAGCCCATGCACGGCCAATACTGTAAATCTTCTTTTTTACATACATACCTTCTCTCTCGATCGAACATCGAAGACATGGTCTTCCCGTTCGAATCGACAACTTGTAAGTAATAAGATATATGGGTCGAGAATTTGTTGCATAGAATTCAACGCTGATCCAAAGTTCCCTAGCTCACCCGGGATAAGGACATCACCCGCAGCACGGACCGTATGATGATATAGCGTGTGATACATATGTACTATATGTGTTCTGTGATACTTATGCGTGTGTGAGCATCTGTTATCTGAGTGTTATGCTGCGCAGGCGAACTCGAAAGCGAGTGCTTTGCCTGTGCCTGGACTGAGAGCGATGGTACTTGACTAGCTTGGCTGGTTTGACCCGGTCCCTAGGACTAGCTAGGTGAGCTTGCTTTTGTACGTACTTGCACGAGTTACTTCGGCAAAAAATGCTTCCACTGCGATTTTTTTTTTTGAAATTCTCAAATTCCAAGTGCAATGCTTGGCTACTTAATTATATATCATTGATTATGTATAATACATTACACCCTTTCTTCGAACCCCATTCAGTCATACATAACATACATATTTGCGGCGACATGCGGTGTCAATGATATACATATATGGACATCAACAATTCAAAAACCTGTCAATATATGATTCACCCCACCCCGGAGCCGAATTTGTTCCGATAACATATGAATTCGTCTCCTCCCGATCGAGGTGGCTCTATTGCACTAAGAAAGGGTAAAAAGAAAAAAAAGAAATCAATTTGGAGAAATTGATTTGTGGCGGTGTAACGGCAGAACGGCTTAACGGCAATTTGCACAAGGTGTGTGTGTGTGCACAGGCCCCATGTGTTTGCGGTTTGTGTTGCAAATGCTACAAATACGGTGCAAACACAAGGCAAAGATGACAATTCGGTTCTCTCTTGTCATGTATTACGGCTACAGTCGGATATTTGTCCTTGTGTCGAGAACCTGAGCAAGTCCAACATTGACTCGTACAAGTATTTACACATAGGCACGCGAAAAAAACCGAGTTATGTATCGTACAAGTAACTCGCTTCAACTCCATGATAAAATCCATCAGACAAATTGATGTGGTTTCTTGCCACCCCCAAAAAAAAACTATTTGGAACTCTTGGATTCACAAACTCCGCGGTGTCGCCGGGAGAGGTACCCAAAAGGAGTTCAACATCACTCACAACTCGGTAACCCTAAAAAGACAGGCGCAATTTATTACATATGCTATGCTATGCTATGCTAATGCACTAGCGAATGATCCTTTGCGTCATGATATGTATGTAGCCGTGTCGATGCACCTGCACAGCTGGAGTCTGTGCAACACATAGCATGCCGGGCCATGCGCACAATTTGTGGTAAAAAAAAGAAGAGTACTTACTACTTGCAAGTCACCTCCCCCCTAGTTATCCTAGTTATCACTTGAAGAAAAGGGATAGGGGACAGTGAATCATGAGAACCTAGGCCGTCGGCACAGGAGAATTCAAGAACCGGAGTCGGAGTCGGGCTTTTTGAAGGGGTCGGAGAGGAACGTACGCGCGCAACTCCATAGGGGGTTCAATCAAAACAAAAGGACTTCCTCTGAATGATTTAATAGAGCGTAGAAAACCGCTTTGCGGCTTTTGAATTGGTGGACGTGTTGGTGAGTTCCACGCGAAACCGTACTAGTGATGACAACTCGTTCCCACTTCGAGTACCATGAACGGGATACCTGAACGAAGGAGAGGGTGCAGTTCGAAGCGATTAGAAGTAGCGCTCCTGAAACTGGGTCATTGGAATCATAGCATCGCGCGCGCGCGCATCAGCGTTCCGAGATGAATAAGTATGCGTTTTTGTTTTTTTTGCCCCGGGTGTGATATGATCACATACTAACACAAAAGTCCAATGGAAGGCCGGAATTGCCCTCTCACAGAGATTACATACGTATATTGCAATCGCAAAGGCCCAATAGATAGTACTACTGCGAGACTCAGAAGGGGCTGCTTCGACCCAGCCATGCGGATAGATATGTGTAAGAAACTCGTGATAGCAGCGTGTTGGGGTACGTATTGTATCGCGCCCGAATATATAGAGTACTTACATAGTCCGAATGGCCGAGATGAAAAACCAAAAAACCTCTACATGCAGCCCCGTCCAGGTGTTGCGGCTATTGAATGTGTTATAGTAATGCGTGCCTGTTGCGCAAAGCGAGGTACCCATAGGAGTTTGCAATCGGACACGGGCTTGCGCCGCGGCAACACCCCCCAAAACCTTTGTAAGCCCCGAGAGAGAATTTTTTTTTTTTGGGCAATCAAGTTTTACTACTACCTTGGGGGTGCAAAAGTGCGGGTTGCGGACAGGGTGAGATCCGAAATGAGTCGAATCGTGCCGTGCCTGGGGGCAGAGTTCTAGAGTGGTAAGGGATCATCGTCTCTTCTTATAGTTCGCCGTTTGTACTAGTGAGGAGGGGAAGGAGGAGGAGGGAGGGAGGGAGGGAGGGAAGTCTTCTCACATCGTCGGCGGTCAGAGGTTCTTGATCCAATGGCCGATGCGAAGAGAGAGGCGGTATTTATCAAGAGGGCTCGGTACCGAGGTTATCGGATTGTCCATATTCAGTAAGCATCAAACGATCATGTCGTGGGAGGGATTAGTGTGAAACGTTGCGTTCTGGGCTTCCCTCGTTTCCAGGCGGTGGCTGGCTGCGCCCTCGTGACGCGGATGTCCGAGATACATGGAGCCTCTAAGATAGGAGAACAGGGCATCAGAGCCGAATACATAACACTTTGGTGCGTTCCTATATATGCATGTCGCGTAGGTAGGACTCCGGTCGCTTGCGTGGGTCCTTGTACAGTGTTGTTTGTCTGTTTCTGGGTAAAAAAAAAAAGGCTTAGGTTCGGATTTAGGACGTCACAGGTATACACAATACTCAGTTCACTTCCCTTTCCTTTGATATGGTGAAGCATTCGGGCAAACTACTAGCTCGCAGAGGTCTGAACTTACGTGAATTCTGATACGTGAGCGTCTAATGACATAATCCTTTTTGTATTGAGCCTTTCCCCTTTTGGATTGGATAACTGAATTAGTTGGCCCCGCTCATTATGTTGTCCGTCGTATGTCATCTTCCGTCATCTTGTATCATTTGACATTACATATATCTGTCCTTGGCTCTAGTCTCATCATTGTTTTGCAAAGTCGTTCTCGTCTTCTTTTCCACATCCTCCGTAGTGGAAAGACTATCTTCCCACCAAAACGAAAGGCACATCAGCGATCCTGTCAATGATGCGTATAGTGAGCCTGTATATTGTTGTTAACGTTGTCTTTTTTGTCGTCTATCCATTTCTCTCTGTCGCCATTCAGCTAGCTTATCGTCGCACTGGGAATATGAACATCGTAGCATCTCCGAGTTCTCCTCAGAAATCCGTCCAATCTGATCAGCATGCAAGCCGGCTGGTGGATACTTGATGTCACAACAACTCCCTCGCTATTTTCCCATCATGCATGGATGTTCGCCTCTCCTTTCCTCACATATGTAATTGTGTAGTTCTGGGGTCGGCCGGGAAAATGAAATTTGCGTGGGAAAGTCCGATCGGAAAACAGCCAAGGGTGAAATGTGTTCTGTGCTCAATAGGCCCAGAACAAAAGGTGGAGGAGCTTCTAGAATTCTGTGGATCAGGATGCGAAATCTGGCGTTCCATCATACATAAGGAGGCCGGCGGAACGGGGAGGGGTTGAAGAAAGGGTGCGTGTGCGTGTACATGTGTAAGTACATACAAACGGGCTTCAACTTACCTAGATTTGATCCGGAGATCTCAACGCGGGAGGTTGAAAGGGGGTTGGATAACGATGCGATGACGATCTACTCAGTTTGCTGCATGTGTCTCCCGCGCTAGGAAAACGAATTTGGAAAAAACAACAACACGAGGTCACAGTGAAAAAACGAGGGGTGGAAGTGTATGCAAGTCATTATACTTCGATGGAGAAGAGAGAGTGTGTGTGTGGAGTTGCTTGTTTGTTTTTCTGAGAGCTTTACTACCAAATAAGGTTATAGTGGTTGTCGCTTTAAATACGAACACTCGCTAACATAATAGAGATGTGAATTGGCTGGAATGGAAAGGATAAAAAAGAATGAATCGGCCATGGCCGAAAGAAAACTTGGGAACAACGGGGAAGGGGAGGTTGTTGAAATTTAGGGTTGGGGAGATTCAGCGACGTCGAAGTACACCTTCATTCGGTTTTCGACGTCGAGCTTTTTTTTCATGAGCGACCGGGTAGAGTTGGTTGCGAGGTGCTTTATAGTGCTATGACGGAATTTCCAGTTGACTTTACTTATTACTTGTTATTTTTTTTTCCCATGCAACTCTTTCCAGGGTTACGGGTTATGTATATAAAACGGGAATAGCGCGAATTGGACGAAAACAGAAAGATTGATGGATTTGTCCGGGCGCAAAGTGGGATATTGGGATCTCCGATGGAGCACGTGAGTCTTGTGGTTGTGGCGATAAGCGTGCATGGGGCCTAGAGTTTGGATGCGGTGAAAAACAGTTGCAAAGCGAGAGAGAAAGGTGCAGTGGGTTGGGGTAGTTGTTCGTGCAAGTGCGTGTGCCGGTTGGTTGAGCCTTAATCTATATATCTCGTTTCCCGTTGTGGGTAGATCAATCGTCATTATCGTTCGTTGATCCCTCGCCGCGCTTCATCCGCACCCCACCACGAACAACGAGTAACATATATATATATATATGCATGGTTTCAAGCCGCGGGGTTAGCGCGTTCCAAACGAGCGAACGTGTTCACTTCCCATCATGCAGATCGATCCTGAAGCAGAAAGATATATACTTATCAATCTTCAACGAGGGTTGTGGTTGTGGGGGGGGGATGCAAGAGGGCAGGGGGGTCATGTAGGATTGTTAGTGTTCTCCTTCTCAGGGTGCTGCTAAATATGTCCAAAGTAGCGGGGGAGGGTAAGAACGGTGATGTCTAACTGTATGTGCCATTGCAAATCCTTGTTTACTTCTCGTCGCTCAGGACTATCTTTGAAAGTGTGGTGGAAGACGCAGCTGGCTGGGGTTCATCGACCCACTTGGTACCGGAGATACTGGAGTTGCGAGCTCCTCGAATCAGAATTCGTAAAAAAATGTTGAAAATGAACGGGCTGGTATGTGTTGGTCTTTACTTATCTCGGGCGAGGCAGATGTTGACATTAATTTGATTTGAAAATTTTCATTATATTATCTATTTATCATTTGTATTCCTTTCTTTTTATTTTCATTTATATATTTGTGCTGTGTGATCTGCTTCTCCTCTAGTCCAAATATAGAAAGGTGATTGGATCAAGTCAAAATGGGAAGGACCCTCACCCTCAATACCCAACAGCACAAGATGGAAAAGAATTTGAGTACATATATCGTATTTTTTATAATGTGCTCTTCTGCGCCTTTCTTGAACGTTGAACAACTCTTCCTGGCTCTCTTTACTCTTCACACACGCACACAGTCATTCTCTCTCTCTCTTGGGCGTCTTTCTCGAGCCTCAACTTGGATTTTGGTTCGTGACGGGAAACTCTTTACGCTCGTCATTGGCTCGTTGCTTGCGCACGTTTCGTTGCCAAAGGGAGAGAGGAAGGGCGGAGTCCACTCACTGGCTTACTAGCTAGTTCATTTCGTCAAGAGTGCCCTTTTCAGCGCGTTCTAGGTCCTAGCAAGAGTTGAAGCCAGATTCGACTTGTTGGAAACCAGATTCGGTTTCATCGAACTTATCGATCCGTCGGTGGGCACTCTAAACCACACGTTTACCGTAGGGTTTGGTGGCTTTGGCGATTAGGGAACGGAACGAACGGGTGAGTTGAATTGAAGTCATGCAAAGCCGTTGGATAGTTTTCCCCCCCACTTCCTCCCTCCAGCACGTGTCGCACGCCGTCCAGGCCCTTTTACCCCTGCCCCTACACTTCTTCGCTACAACGTTCAACCTGAAAGCCGCTTCATTGCTCGCTCCTCTTTCTATTCCATTCCATTTTCTCGTTTCTCCTTACTCCCGCTTCAACTTTGCATTTGGTCTTCAACTTCGCCTTCGTAATGTTGGTTCGGCATAGGACCGAACGGAACGAGTTTGTTCGGCATTGTCCATTCAATGGGTGTTGTGGTTGTGATGCCGACTTTTGAATGTAGGCGTCCTCTCCGTGTGTTTCCCTGTACTTTTGGCGGCCCCTCAGGCCGTATTAAGTACTGTTGGTGACTCGTTGGCTTCGCAACGAGGCTGGGAATGATGGATAGAGTGAATTCAGTTGAGAAATTCGCCAACAAGGGCGAGACTCGCGATCTCAAGGATCGAGAATGATTTTAGTCTAATACCCTTTCCTCCACTTGACTCTTTTCTTTGTTCTTTTCTCGCGTCATTGTGGAAACTTGATAACCGTCTCAAACCGCTAAACCTTCTTGAGTACAAGAGGAGGATTCTCCGAACTCACTCGGAATTTCTCATCCGTTTTGGCTTACTCAAGTACTTTTCTTTGCAATCATTTTCCGTATTCCCCGATCGTTCTTCTAGTGGAGAGATCCACTTCTCGCGTGCTTCTTCTCCTTCCCTCAAATGTTTTATCCTTATCTGAATCAATTTTTTTGTTCTGCTTTGAACGAGTCAAGCATTGTTTTTTTTTTTGATTTCCTTCTTTGGTTCCAACTACACAACCCCCGTATAGCATCACCCCCTTCCACATTGCAATATCTCATTCATAAGCTTCCCCGAACGCATCCACACTCCCCGAGTTTGGCTGTGTCCTTCTCCGTGAACCATGACGACACAGAATAGGGTCACTGGCGGTAATCTCGCTCCCTCTCCGAGAGAGAGTGTGTGTTTTAAGGCACATCGCGTTCGGTTTCTCCCCTCCCCTCCCCCCTTCCCTTCACGTTTGTATAGGCTGACAAAAACCCGGGATCGGACGTACTAACTCGTGTCTCCGCGCTCTTTCCCTTCTTTTTTATATAGTGCTATACCCTAACTACAAGTTCAGGTTACGGCGGCGTCGTGTTTATAGCCTCTCGAGCTCTTCAAGAGTCAGCCCTCGCAACCTCTTTTTTTGAGCGAGATAAAAAAAAATCGCCTTCGACTCATTTCAAGCTTCGAGTTCGCGCTTTTGACGACTTTGGTATATATCTTAAATGTCTACAGTCATCTCGACTTCCATGGGCCCTGGATTTCTTCTGTCCACTTCAACATCAACCTCAACATCCTCGCCATTAACATCAATGATGAATTGGGATGATTGGCCAGGGAGGGACGAGTTCCTTGATGTCATTGAGGAAATTTCTTATGGGTCAGGGCGGCGGGATATTTCCCGCCGTCCACTGCTTCTTCCTTTTCGTCTGAAGAGTCGAGGTCACCATCATCATTGTGCGTGTTTAGCTTATCAGTTTTTTTCTTGGTATCAAGAATGGGACCATCTGACCAAGTCTTGCTTTTTTCTTTTTTCTTTTTCGCCCGATTCTCCCTGCCCTGGATGCTTATGACGTGGTCGCTAACTCGATTTACGATTGCTTTTTTTAACGATGGAACATTCGGCACATTGGATGCTTATCGAAACTGCAACACGTCGTTACGCCCTTTTTGTTCACATGCGCAACAACCCAAAATTCCGTGGCCGTATGACAAACTTGGTGGCTCGATCGACTTTTTGGTCAACTGGCTGGTTCATCCTTCCTATCTGATTCTACGCAACTCTCCGTTTCAACATCCATCCATTTCATTCATAATTCAATTTATCTGGGGGGGGCCTCATCTGTGTGGAACACCTGCTACCGTCTCTTTATGGATCGCTTGAATCTTCCTTTCATTTGGACCGATCTCTTGATCTGATCCAACTTGGGGTTCGTTCTGAATCTGGACCTTTCATGGGGCTGTACGGGTACTTTTTCCACTGAAAAAAACAAACAAACCGATACAAAACCCTAAAATTCCTCACATATCCGTTTGGGGTTTTCTTCCCATGTGTGCTCCCCTCTTTGTTTTGTATGTGTGGAATCACACGGGTGCCTGCACAACACGCATGTACGTCGTGCTGTGCTGGCGTCTTGGGGGCTGGGCAATTCTCATAACTTTTTTGTTCTTTTCTAAACTTGGCTCGCATTTGCCCTTTACATGCATGCACACACTTCCCTTGCTCTTGGGAACTCCTCCCGGGATCGGTCGACTCCAAAAAAAATAAAACCGCGCATCCGGCTCCGGTTCTATATTTGATCCACTTCATTAATTCCTGCTCCACTTCCATTCCATCTCCTTTTCCTCGAATGCTGTTCTTTTCGTCTGCATTCACACTCAACTGCCCATCATGGCTTGATAATCTTAATATTCACACCTCGTTGGTTAATTCAATGCCCTCCTCTCCTCCCCCCACACCACCCTTCTTTATCCCTTTTCCTCGCCGCCCGCTTGATTCTCTCACTTGCTCCTTATGTCTCGGACGATACCTGCTGATTACCGCTGATCTATCACTAACTGCTGACCAATACCCCCCTGCCCGCTCTTCCCCCTTCACTGCTCGTCAACACGCCATCTCTTTCTCTACACTTTCTTCATTTCCTCCTTGCCTCGCCACCATCGCCATCGCCATCACCATCATTACCCTTTGCGTATTTAACCCTTATCGCCGGTATCACGGTTCGTCAATCATCTACCGAAAACCAAATGGTATATCGTACCAAAATAACAAATAGGGAACCAACCGGGTTCGAGAACGCCAGTCATCCATTACTCGGTTCCACTTCGTTTGAGGAAGTGGACGTCCAGACTCACTCTCACGCCTCCGCCCCATCTTCCTCTACCATGCCCTCTTCTACCTCATCCACGTCCACATCCACATCTGCGTCGGGTTCGACATCGTTGTCGACTTCCCATTCACAGTGCCTAGATTATACTCCCCCTGGATCATCATCTGGATCGTCGACGAGCGAGCCGCTGTCACCTTTTACGCCTATTGGGCCTGGCTGTGGGGACGGGAGCGCCATCTCGTTTGCAGCGTACACTGATTCACCCACTCTGATGTCGATAGGGATGATGGGCTCGGGTGTAGGTATGGACGTCATGCTTGACGCCAGTTTGGGAGTCGACATGCCGTTGTTGTGTGAAGGGATTGGAGATACCTTTGGGACGTATGAAGCTTTTGGAGGAGGGATGAACCAAAGTTGTGTGAAAGCGTGTGAAGATGATGTCGAGATGGGATCGGGCGAAGGGACGGGTTCGTCCATTGATGAACTTGTACTGGGTTCTGAGGTGATCCAGTCCTTGAGTGGTGTGGCGGGGGTGGACGCAATGGCGGAAAGGAACACTAGTTCGTTCTACGCATCCATCGCCGAATTGACGATGACCGCGGGGACAAACTCAGCGGCCACTAACACGACGATGATGACGACGAGCGGGAACGTGAACACGGCACCTGCGGGAGATTCGAGGCCTACTTCGTCCCAATCTGCAATTTCGTCGTCTTGGTCAGGTTCTTCGCCTTCGCCTTCGCCGTCGGCTGCATCCCACTCATCACCCGCTTACCCCGGGAAGGCCCCTGTACCCCCTGGAGTTTCCCTCCCGAACCGATCTCCTGACGCTTCGACCACCACTTCAGCATCTCCGACCCATCTCAATTCGCTGGCCATCCGGGTTCGTACTATCAGCCTCAAGTTCATACTGTGGAGGTCAAAGGACAATTCGCGATACCATCTCCATCTCATCTTCATAATCCGCATTACCATCCTTACTTTCAACCTCAACTTGATTCTCGGCCTCCTCCAAGCGAGTCTCTGAACTTTCCAGAGACAGGGATGACGTTGAATGATGCGAATTTCGATTTCGAAAGACAGCACAAAATGAGAGAGGAGAGACGACTGGCATGGTGTCAAGTTGATATGGCTCGATTAGGCCACACGACGTACTCCGGGGAGGGTCTCCATTTCATTCCGATGCAGGAGCCGACGGTACTACATGGAGGCTACTCGGTGAATTCCTCCGCCGCGACGACACGTACCCACAACAGCAGCAGCAGCAAAATGGTGTTATTCCGTTAATGGACAATAGGAACCGGACTGCAAGTTGTGTAGTTCAACACCAGCGGCCGCAGCAAGATTGTTCGTGCTCATCTTCGGCCTCTTCTGCAGGCTCCGCTACCGTCCGGTATTCGTATGCTGCCGTGTCAGGACCGACGGCGGTGAGCAGTGGAATGGTGGATACCGCTCCGGCTCGTGTTGAAGCCAAGTCTGATGTGACTCCAAGTTCTTGTGCGATATCGGACGTTACCCGTGCGCCCGTCCCTTCGTGTCCTGATGCTCAACGTCGGCCTCGTTTGAACCGGAGAATGTCACTTTCTGTTAGCACTGGAGGGGGTGGCACTTCGTTAGCGAACATACCTCCTAGTCCGTACCCCAGTTTACCACCCAGTCGTCAAGAAACACCCCCAAAAGTATCTCCTATCGGCGGTCTACTGGGTCGTGTGAGGCAACGGAGAAGTAGCTTTTTATTAGGGGTTGCTGGTGGTAGGGCAAGTGCGGGTGCGTGGGCGTGTGGGGACGTGAAGAAGGAAGGTGTAGAGGCTCGGACCGTGGAGGCGGCTTCGAGTGGAGTTGAAAGCCAGCAGCTAACCCATCCCTCGACTGCGTCAAGTCCGCCAGGTAACTCCCAAGAGGTTACCGGTTCGTCGTCATCCACTGTGACACATGTGCCTAGTCAGCCCGCGCCGACCGAGGCTCCTCCCACTGTCACGAGCTCAATGCCAATCCTTCAGGAAGCCTCAGGATCTATGACGATTGAAGGACGTCGGATGAGCTTGCGGAAGAGGAAACGTGAGGAGACGCATTGTCCGACCAGTGAGGAATCTGAGCATGGCGCTAGTAATGGCGCCATCGTACCTGGCATGAAGGGCAGCCCCTCGCTTGAGACCAGTTTACAGGAGGCAGGTATGTACTCAAACATCTTCTCTCACCAAGTCCCGTTTGGATTACCGAATATTGATCATTTGTTACTCTGTAGAATCAGACGAAGGCGAGATGTTGCCAGATAATGGTCGCCGCCAGCGCCGAAAGCGTTCGCACTCAGGGATGACCGTTCACGATCTTTTCGTTGATAGGGGTGCTTCTGCGTCATGCAGCCCAGTGGCCTCACACTCAAGTCAGCCGCCTGTGGACAGTCCAACACAGCCTGTCGCTGGCCCAGAAGCTGCTGGCCCTGCGACCGAGGTGACGACCGATGCCCCTATTGTCATGAAGAAGCGCGGAAAGTTGCCTAAAGAGGTTACAGAGACGTTGAAAACTTGGCTGATGGCGCACAAGTCCCATCCATATCCCACTGAAGATGAGAAGAAGATGCTCTGCGACAAAACGCAATTGAACATGAGCCAGGTGTCGAATTGGATGATAAATGTAAGAGGTTGTCTGTTGTATCGGTTTGGGCTGCGGCGCTAACGATTATTGCATTAGGCTCGGCGACGTATTCTTGTTCCTCCTAAGAAGAGGATCACTTTTCAAGAGACGATCACAGCTAAGCCTCGTCCCATCTATGAAACATCAGCAATAGTCCCGTCAGACCCACCTGTTCCCTCTCACCCCGCCACTCGCCTTCCAGCTTTGACAATGATCCAATCCGAATACTCTACTCTTTCCGGTCCTCCTCCTTCACCCTCGTCGTACGGAACTCATCCCCGCAGAACTGTGTTTTCCATGTTGCGCAGTGCACATGCCCTTAGTCCACCCCCAGCCCACCCGCATCTACCACCCTGCAATGCCCAAGTGGAAAAGAACACCATGGCCGTCCAGAGCCACAACCTCGCCCAGAATACCCTGGCAGAGTACCGCCTAACATCTCAAGTACACCTCTCGCACGTTCTCGCCGTTCGCATTCACCACAAGCCTTGGGCTCAAATACTCAATCGTATTCTTATTCGACCGACGCTGGTATGACTATGGAGCGGCTGGCAGCGTATGGATATAGCCCAGCACAGGCTTCATATCTGGCTTCGAAAACTTCGGCTAACGCTGTGCCCGATGCTACAGCTGATCACCGCGTAGAGAGTAATGCAGGCGAAGATCACGACGAAGATCACGCATCGCCGCCGTCGACTGAAAGCGAAGATTCATCTGTCACCTCCCACCACTGAGAAACATCATTTGTATCCTGTCTATTGGTTTCACCTATTCCTTCCCCACTGATGATCTCCCCCCCCCTCTTCTATCGCCCGACTGAAAGCCCTGATCTCCAACAAAAATGCCTTGATCTTCCTGCGACTATCTTGAATGCACATAGTCTTCCTTAGCGCTATTCATATCACATGGACTTTTCTTTTTTCTTTTTTCTTTTACCTTTCACCTTCCTCATTGTCATTTATTCTGGGTAAAAGAACACTCAAATGAATCGTCGGAAAAGCTGACTTCATGTCCTGCTAATGCATCTTTAAAATATATGTTCTATGTACTTTCTGACCACTTACATCTTGCATCTTTTTTATCATTGCATCGTTCTGTCACCAGTTCATCCCACTCATAGTGGCCCTTGCGCCCACACTTACGTTTACCTCTTTCCCATCGGAAATCGATTCTGCATTGTCTTCCCTTTGTTCTGCCTGCTCATTTCCTTCTCTTATTTTATTTTTCCCTTTCTTTCTTTCCTTCTTTTTAACTGTAGCATAGCCTTACCAAAAAAAGGACGAGGAGACGCCAATCGACTCAATATTAGTGTTAAATAGTAGTGTTATCGGATAAATGTCCAGTTTCTCCCTCTTGCTTCAGTGCATGGCAGGCTTGGGAAACTCCGGAAGGCTACATCTTATACCGGGGATCTGTGGGGAGGTTCTCTAGAAACTACTTTAACCTTATATGGGCCAACTTTGCCTCGAGGCCACACTTAACCTTTGTTGTTCGTTCCCTTTGGGTTTGAGGGAAGATAGCTCTGTCTCGGGATGCAGAACCAGAGGTGAGCCCCTCGGCGACCGTACCAACTGCACAGGACTAGTAGTAGTCCCGTTTTATTGGGAACACAAGTTCCAGGGATCACCAGGCGAGCTAAGACGGTCGATCCATATCCCAGAATTCGACGCAGAACCTTCTCCCTATGGTATAGTAAATAGCAGGAGCCTATCAATGAGATGTTGGAGCCGCTGTGCGTCACTTAGATAGGCTAGTTAGGGTCGACAATGACGACATGGCACTGGTCATGAGTCTAGAGAAAACTGGTACCGTGGGTGGCAACCAGTTCGAGAAATCGTCCTCATGCATTTTCGTCATGGTGCTGGATGGTTGGTTAAGGGGGGCAAGACGCCGTGTTACCGTGCGAGAGAACGTAACTTTGGATACATGGTCATGCTAATGTCACGCATGCATTCTCGGCGGGAGTTTGTTACTACGAATGTATGGGACGCACTAAGTCCTCAGCTAGACGGAGCCCCTCTCACCGATCCACTCCATAAATGTCCTCGTTCCGATGAGGAATACTTTGACGACGCTCAACACTGGATTGCGTCGTGTCCCTTGAACCTTGTTGAATGCCATGAGATCGATACGCAAGGGAACCATGCGCCGGTTGCCACCACGGTTCAGTGTTAAGTAAATAGGAGTGGGCGTTAAGCAGCAGTCACAAGTTCATTGCGGCCAGAGGCGGCGAGCATAGCTAAGTGATATGTGCGTTATTAAATAATTTAGCTATTGTGATGTAGAAGAATAGAAAAGTGACGATATTTGGTCAGAGCACGCGCATGGTGCAAACTCTGGAACGCTGAAAACTTCCATTATTTAATTCAGCAATTTCATGGGCGGATAAACAAAAGATAGCTGGTGTTGGAACGTGTTGGATATATCGGGAGATACGAGGACAGTGCATTCGAGCTCGACGAGGATTAGAACCAACTCGGTTTCTCGAGAGCATGCACCGTGTTGCAGAGGCTCGATCCTGCCTATATATCACAGTGTAGCTGCAGGAGTTGGCGCTGGTTGTTGGCATAGTTCGTCGAGTAGAAAGCTGAGGCCTGGGTCGATAGGACCACCTCCATCCTACCCGTTCGCCGCTTTCAATGGCAGAAAGGCGAGTCTATGTCTGGAGGGCTGAGAGGAGACCAAGCATTCACCAGTAACTCGATCGAGGGGTCAATCGTGACCGTGAAACTTCCTAGATCTGCCATGCGGTAGCCGATCACCAGGTGCACCTCGTTGCATCAGAATTTCCCCCAGATCTTAGTTGATACTCGGAGACAACTCGCTGTGAGATTATCAAATCTCCGCCTATCTAACTCACAAAACAAAATCTGAGCGACGAATTTGAATTTAGATCATCGGGGGATGCTCGGAGGTACCTCTCCGGCTTACTCCGGAGGGTAAGTAATTTGTGCGACCAGTATCTCCCCTCCCCAATCACAACTTCTAGACAGTACCCTCAGCAAGCGCTTGGAGATCCATCCGCACCCCGTCTATTCAAGCCCCCGATTACTGCCATGGCATTAGAAGAGGCCATTCAAAGAGGCAGCCAACTTCTTGCGAACTTCTTTCGTTTTCAAAGTGATAATGACTGGATTAAGCAACATTTGGGCATTTCCCGGTCCATCGTCCACAGCGTTCTCTGTGAGGCTGGGGATCCGAACATAAAGGAACGCCTTAGAGACGAATTGGAATTCGATACTTATATCAAGAGCGGCGGGGGGCAGCCTGAGCGAGAACTTGTCAAGTTGCTGAAAAATATGACAGACAACCAGGTGCCCTGGAGCGATTTATTTAAAAATGGTACATTTCTCTCCTTTTCACGCCAAGCACCCTGGTTACCATATCCTCCAGAAGCGTTTCTCAAACCTAAACCAGAGATTACCGAAACGGATATAACTCTTCGTACGCAGTGAATTCGATCCTCCTCCACTCTTTACTGATCTCTTCTGATAACAGCTACCATACTCGCATGGAATAGTACATTTCAAGGCGGCATCGCAAATGTACTTCTTGAATCTATCGCGGACTACCTTTCCAAGGACAGAACTTCCTACGTGAGGCTAACAAGCATCGTAAATTCATCTGGGACCGGCAAGTCGCGCATGGTGGATCAACTTGGCAAGGAAATTATAACGGTGCCGATGTGTTTACGTCCGGGATACGAAGGTTTTCTCTTCTGCTTTTTCTTTCTAAGTATGGCTGATTTACAATCTGACCCCCATAGGGTTCCCTCCTCCTGATAGGATACTGCGTGATTGGCTCATTCTTAGGACAGGTGATTGGACGACTATTCAGAAGAGGCTATATGGATTCGCATATTCTCTCTTAGTAGTCACTCTCAGAAAACTGGAGACCATCGTGTCAGAGAGACAAGGTGACCACCTTCCGACTGCTTACCGGATTACTTTCCAATGGCGTTGCAGACATACCCAAGTTACCACCTCTCGATGAGGCATCCGCTAAAAAATTGTCAAAGGAAAAGTCGAAGGACTATGTATCCTTGGTCATAGATCGCCATAGGAGGTTGGCATCTGCCTTTCGTGAGTATATGACCACAGGACAATCATATCACGCTTCGAATCCCGATCGAAAAACGTTCTACCATGAGGTAATCAAGTTGGCCGAGAAGGTGAATTTCCTGTCCTTCACCATTTTTTGTGAGAATAACAATTTCCTCGAGTTTGAGAAAATTAGCGACGAAAATGAAGCTGAACATGTTCTAGGAGGCAGCAGCCTACGAGAATTAGGCGAAAAGCTCTGTCGCTTTATAGATGAGCATAAGGTTTTGGAATCGGACAAAGGCCCACAACGGCCCCTGGTCGTCCTCGCTTTTGACGAGGCTCATGTCCTTTCCGATAACCCGCCAGAGCAAATATACTGGAATCTGTTCTCGGAGTTGCGTCGAATTCTACGACAAATCGAAGATCTCCCAATTTTTTCACTGTTTCTTTCGACAGCGGGACGCTTAAATCATCCTCCCCCAGGATCCAACGAACGTCCCCTGAATCCGATTACGGAAATCAGTTTCGATGATATTTCGTACCCGGCATTGAAGAATACTGTCACGATAAACAGAGTGGTAGAAACTAGTTGGATTTCCCATCTTGGTCGCCCATTGTATGTCCACCCCATACATCCCTTTAGAGAACAGTTTTCATACCACCTCGACTAGATTTGGGTCATATTGGGACCAGCTGCCACAGTGGCGCAAACATGAGATAGTGGTTATGGACTATGCGAAGCAGAAGCTCCTGAATGGTCCAAGTGAGCTGAGAGACAATCCGGCTGGTGCCCTGGCCTGTCTCTCAATACGCTTCGCGCTGGAGTTCAACATGGACGCTTTAGCTCGCGATGTGATTTATGCACAGGTTGAACGGCATATGCGACTCTGCATCGGAGCGACTGCCGGATTCGAGAGTATGATTACCATTCCTGGGTCCGAACCACTTCTGGCGGAGGCTGCCTATGAACTCTTGAAGGGGACGGGGAGGAACGCGGTGCGCCATCTGGCCAACCACTCGGATCTGGACTGCCTCAGCCGTGGGCTGCGTGGGGAACTGGTTGCGATCCTGCTGATCATGCAAACATACGATGCAGCACGGGAAATTAGTCGTAGAAGATGGGTATCCGTGTTCAACTTTATGGAAGCCTTACTTCCGACGTTGCACTATGAGACGCTTCTCCAATCTGAGCCAACATCTTGGCCTATGGGGGATGGGACCACGAAACATGACAACACATTTAAGGCTTTGTTCAAGGACTATGGGATGTGGTTTAACCATGTCATCAAGATCGAGAGCCAGGCGATGATCTCGGTCAGCCATCTTTGGAAGTTCGTTACGCGTGGGGCGATGATATTGTGTGCGACTAATCAAGAGGGCATTGACATTATTTTACCCGTTTGTCACACGACACAGAATCTTGGCCCTGATTCTGTGACGGCCATAGTGATCCAGGTGAAGAATACGCAGGATTACAAGACGACACTCAACCCGTGGTTGTTTGACACGATGGATGATATCATCAAATCGGTCCTATTCTCCACTGACACCTCCACTGACTCGGAGTCTGACTCCGAGTCCGAGTCAACTACTGAGACTCCGGAGGAGCTGGCAGAGCCCAAGAAAAAGAAAAAGAAGTTAAACCCGAGGGTGGAGGTAATTCCAGTGCCAGAAAAGGTGGAGCCGAAGCCGGTCATCCGAGTAGTGTTTGCCTTGGCTTCTCCAGAGCCTGCCACAATCCTCAGGGAACGGCCCGAAGCCGTGGACGATTTCGACGGGTTTTCTACCTTCGATATCTGGCTTGCAGGCCTCTCGTGCGAAACGTTCGAGCAGATCCAAGAAGCGGATTTGCAATCATACAAAACACTTCTGAAGCGTTCACTTACGTCTCACGACGCATTCGAATTTACGCATGATCCAAATATAGGCGAGGAGGCGAGAAGAGTGAGAGGGTCTTGCGCGCGGAGGATGGCACCATTGAACCTCTCAGAGCATAGTCATCACGGTATTCACCTCCTGGACCCGGAAGATCCAGGAGAAGGGTCCGGAATCGACCCAGCGTTCCCAATTGATTAATTTTTTTTTTGATAGTAACTACTGCATACAATGCCGAGTTTTTAGGGATTCCACGATTACGATGTTCTCGTGTATTCCTATATACTGAACCTTGAATGTGCATAGGAATATGCTTGCACTTGTGCGTGTATGGTAACATTAATCTCAGCCTGTCAGGAACTCACGGAAGGTAAGCGGTTTTCTGTAATTCGGACGCAAGGCGCATGAACGATCGAACTGTCGGGTTTATATATATCCCATTGCATTGCTCGTCAATAACCAGGCCCTCCAGCCTCTATGACAATCAAACAATATATAGGATCTTGCTCATTACCACATGGAACAATCAGTTCGCCGTGCGCAGCTTTACTCTCCGTGCCGGAACTTTGGATCGGGACCCTTGTGATAATTAAACATTTCGGGCACAAACTTTCAGGCAATCCTGCCTGCGTAAGCTATGGAATTAAGGTTCCACCAAAAAAAAGAAGGTAGAAGCTGCACCCTCCAGTGCGTGCTCCCGCTTCCTGTAACGGTGCAAAGTCGGTATTTCCGCAACCGTTTGTGACGATTCCACGTACGGTACTTGCGCTAGTGGGTTACATTTCTCCCACTTGGAACCGTTTTGAAACGTTTCGTTATTTCATCAGGCAAGTCTATGATAGCGACTGGTGCTAAAAACAGGACTTGATGGCTTCCGCATGCAGACATCCGAAAATTGAGTTCAACTGCCAGCTGGAAGAATGACGCTTCCCACCCTTAGGGAACACAATTTGGATTGCTGCATCCCAGTCCTCTTCCGTCTGTTATCGCCTTTTGGATTTAGAAATTGCTTGTGTCTAAGCTTTTCAGGATCCGTCAAGCAGCATGCTATGCTATTCGGACTGTCAACAGACACCGAAAATTGGTTTTAAACGTTCGATACGGTGTTGATGCTCGCCAGGCTATGAGGAGTTTGTATCTAGACTGACGAACTATCCAACAACTAAAGGATAACATCAATGATACATACAACTTAGGATTGTTGCATCGGGAGGGAAATCCGGCCGTCGATGGCTTGGGTATCAACTTACAAGAAAGGATGGATGGATGGGTTACCTTCCGGGCGCCGCACACGGGGGGTCAAATTCGAAGTCGCGAGCAATTGCTAGCTCTACTGGTTGACTGCGGCATAGCAGGGACGAACATAACACATACCGCGCATTCCCTACTGGTGTTATATACATAATGATGGGTTGAGCCCCGCAGACCTTAGCCCAACGATATCGAGTGCGGTGGCGAGAGGTGTGTACGAGGAGCTCGCAAGCGCTTGCGCCGACCGATTACGTTTGCAATGGCATCCTTTCTAGGTACTCCCAACAGGAGGCTGTAAGTTAACAACTCAAAGGGAAAATCTTTGGAAATGTAGTTGCTGTAACACGAACACTATATGTACACCCAATTTCCACGTAGTCCCAAGGCCGCAGGGCAACAAAAAAGGATCATGACCATATACGCACCCAGTCTCATATCTCAGGACCGAATAAGAATCTGACAGTGCCCTCCGACTTCCACGACGCATTAAGTACCGTTTCTCCGGCACCATCTACGCCTTCCTGAGCTGTCTTTTCCTCAATTTCAAAGAAGAGACTCTGATCTCGGCCGGGAATTAGTCCCCTCTCGCGAGGATGGTACGGATGCGGTCGCTCACGAAGGAAAATCTTCGTTCGTGTGAGCTGCTCAACAGGGAAGAGAGGCTGAGGAGGAGGATCTTTAGAATGCTGGCTGGAAGGATTGGATGGGTAAGGGGTCGAGTGAGATGGTGATGCAGGTGTTTGGGGTGTCTGAGGAGAGGTAGTGTTTGAAGAGCTTTGTGAGGTCTCGGCAGCGTAAAGGAGGACGTCAAGAAGGAAGTGGCATATTTCTACACCAAACTAAGTGGGCAATTCCAGAGGTATTACGCATCCAGTAACATACCTTCAAGATCCTGGGTTTGAGCATGAAATTTCTGTTCCCATTGCCCTTTCTCCGCAAGCATCTCGACTATTTCTTGACTGGAGCGATCTTCGGGCTCCGTAGGGAAGAGATGCACGGATTCTCGGAGGTCCAGGAGTGCTGCTAGAAATATCGACGCAAGAGCGATAACATGAGGGGGATATTGTAGCGGCGCCATTGTCCGATGACTGGAATGGATATGCGTCAGGCGCTGTTCAGAAACGTTGCATTCAGACTAGGCTACCTATCAATCGCCAGTCTCCATGCCAGTTTTGTGAGATGCTTGCCCACTTGAAAAGAGATATTAAAGTTAGAATGAAGCGAGATAGGTGTATGTACCTTTAAGCTCTCTTGCTACTTTGATAACATACGAAAATGGAAGACGGACGCGGAAGTTGAAACACACGGTTTCCATGACCAGTCTTTCGATGGCGAGGAGTCTCCTCCGGTCAGCTTCAATTGTCTGGAGTAGGTGAAGAATGTTTCAGTTGATGATACAGAAGAAGATGGGAAGCGCCCCTGCCCACGCTCGGATCAATGTCCACCTCCCCTCCACCGTGTTTAACTTTGGCTGCCAGCTCAGGGAATCGGACCGCATATGAAACCATTAGCAAATCACGCGGTTTCTTGAGGGTATCATGCAATTTGCTTGATACGTAGAGAGTAGCCATCGTAACGTCCTTCAGAGTCAGAGTCAACCGAAGAGCGTCGGGGTCAATTTTATTTGGACGAAACACACGGAATAGTTGAACTCTTTCCATGGATAGAACATGTGGAAGCGATTGAACAAAGTTTGGGCGGTAGCAATTGTTGCTCGAGGACTTTATAAAGGCGTTAGTCACTTCCTAGCTTTGATCACCGACTGCGGTCGCACAAGCCAATTTTAGATCCCACTACCTCGATAAAGGAACAGGCTTGAATGCGTGCTTTGCTCTCCTGCGATTCGGTCATTTTCCCTCGCTGTCGATCGCAAAGGTATGCCACTTCATCTGGGTTGAAGTATGGGTGATTCACGTTAGTCGTCATAGCTCTCAGAGAATTTTCAGACCCTTGCTCGTTGAGCGGGTCCCGTTCAGGCAAGTGTGCACCGAGATGTCCCACAATCACGGGAACAACCGTTCGAACTTGATAGAATTCACATCACTTCCTTTATTTTTAGTTTTCACCCTTAGTGCCTTCTTTTCCCCCTTGTCTCACCATGATCTCGTCTTTCGCTGGCCGCCTGCGTAGTGCTACTGTTAGTGCTCCAAAGAGTGGTAGTGAAAAAGCCTCGTCGAGACGCCTCACTGCTGATGGTGCAATCGAAGCATCATCCTCTCCTTCCTCGTCCTCCTGGTTTCCTGAGACAAGATCCACGATTACTACTGAACCACTTCCGGAAAAAATTGATGGCTTTGGTTCAACTGTTTATCTCGATTACGACACGCACGACCCACCCCCGAAACCAGCGGGGACCACGCGCTTTATCTGCATCAGTGATACCCATTCTCAGACGTTTCCCGTCCCGGAAGGGGATGTCCTGCTTCACTCTGGCGACCTTAGCGGCCACGGACGGCTTGAGGATCTTGTCATCACGCTGGACTGGCTGGAAACCCTGCCGCATAAAATAAAAATGTACGTCCTCAGGGTCTATGTCCGAGCACCCACACCGCTTCATAGTTTTCCTTAGAATCATCGCCGGCAATCATGATCTCGTATTACACAAGGAGTGGTACGAAGAACACAAGCACGAGTTGAAACGTAAGAACTGCCATATGGAGGTGTGTTGACAGTGGATCGGTGCCGCTACAGCACACCAATCTGCTTGTTTTAGGACCCCGATAAGGCTATTGCATTTGTGCGAAGCAAGGCTGAGTCGAAGGGAATCATCTATCTTGAGGATGAATTATACAAATTCCGGCTTGACGAAGGGCGAAAGGAGTGGTCTGTATGGGGCTCTCCAGTGAGTGCATTTCAAGAAATCTGAAAAAAATTCTTAACTCTTTCTTGACTCCCAGTGGTCTCGAAAATTTGGAAACTGGGCGTTTGGCTATGCACCACTTGACGCTGAGGGTATGTGCGATTTCATGATTGTTTGCGGTCGCTTGTGTGACGTGTTGGTACAGAAATTGTATCACGTATCCAGCCCTGCGATATCCTGTGCGTCGTCTTCTCGTGTTATGAGCTGGCCTGACAGCCTAGTGTACTATAGTCTCACCCACGGACCTCCTTTTAACATCCTTGACCGTACAATTTTTCGTGACGAAAGTGTTGGCTGCCCTACCCTTGCTAATAGGTTAACATCTCTGAAACCGCGACTCCACGTTTTCGGCCACATTCATGAATCCCACGGTGCTGTATTGAAAGTCTGGGAGTCACCGGAATCCCCTAGTGGAAAGAGTTCATTGCGAAATTCGATTGCGAGCGGAACAAGTCGACTGAGGAAGAGCCTTTTTACGCGTTTGAAAAGCTCTCAAGAGGCTACAATTGTGGGCCAAGACATCAAGGAAGCTGCTAATACAGTGGCGGCCACTGTGCCACCACCATACGCGCAGCTGTCTATGTCACAACTGACGCCTTCTGCTATGCCTCTCAATGGCAATGCACCTCAAGTACACCAAGCAGGCTCAACTCCACGACGAGCTCCCACTTCTATCAGTCTCCCATCCCGTTCAACTTCCCCAAGTGTGCTGTCATCACATCGACGCGGCTCAACATCACCGAGAGATGTTGTCACTGAGACAGTCTTTGTGAATGCTGCTAACGCACCTATGGGGCCTCGTGGGCGAAATCCTGAAGGCAGGCAAGTCCAATTTGGTCAAGGTGCATTTTGTCCAGTCATCGTCGACTTGACAGACTGAAGGGTCTGAAAGACCGAATGGACAATTGCAAGTCCATTAACTTCCTCAATCTTCTTGGTTTGCTGCAGTACTTCCGGCCTCTTGACACGCTTGAAAATCACCACTGTATCTGTAGCTTGGCCATTTCATGCGTCCACGAATAGAGCACATAGAGCCAAGATGGGCCATCTCATGACCACGACATATTGTATATATCTGCATCACAATGTCTCCACTCCAATCTATGATCCTGACAGCATAAAGTAAATGCGCCACACGGTGTGTTGATTATGGTATCAAACGTTACGGTTATTTCAGGGCACACTCAAGATACGATGAGGGTGGCAGTTTGGGAGGGGGACGATACAAAGTGCGGTTGTTGATCCATCAGTTCCTTGAAAAAAGTTCAGGGTAATTTAAACAACCAGACAAAACCCAAATTGGACGAGCAGCATACGCACCATGAGGATCCAGAATGATCGGATTTGAAAAACGCGGGTGGATGCTGCTCACTCGTCTGCAAGAGCATTCAGGATTGTAGCCATGTGAGGGTAATTGTTTTTTGCAGCGTCAATCTCCTCCGAGTTGAGCCGCTTTTTCGCCTTTGCGAGGTCAACTCGCTTCTGTCGCAACGCAAGATCGTTATAAATCCATTCGACGTCTGTGGCGTCTAGCTGTTTACGGCGCTCGCCCATCGAGCGTACTTTTTCGACAAGAAGATCGGTGGGCTTGAAGAATGGGAGGAGTCTTGGCTCTGGGGTCGAATCGGTGGTGGTGTCATGAGGCAGGGCAACCGGGAGTTCAACGACAGATCTTGGCATGCGTCCCTCTCGCATGAAGACATCTACTCCAACGGTTTTATTCCAAATGACTCGGAGCTAACACGATGACGATCAAAGAATGAGCTTTGAGCACAGTAGCGTGCTGACGGTTGCTTACGGCGTCCTCTCTGGTCCCCTCAATGACAAGAAAAGCCTCTTCCGATTTGAAGGCAGCCTTCACTTTGTCCAAGAGGGTGCTGCTGGTGCCGAATAGACTCCATGATTTAGCGATCTCGACATCAACATCTTTTGTCGTTCGGCTGGGTTGCTCTAGGGTGACAAGCGCAAAGCCCCCGAAGAAGGCATGGGAGAGTTTGTGCTTTGTCAGCAAATCATGGGCAGCTGCTGCAGCTTGAGACAGGACACTAATTTCAATGGACAGCTCAGGCATTGTTGTAGTATGAGGTGAAGATGAGGTGAAGTCGAGGTGAAAACAAAACTGCACGAAGGCAGATGAAATGTTGTAGGAGTTATATACCCGAACGCACGGCCTTCGCTTCCTGGAAATACGACGGGCGCTGAAACACAGGGGTATATTGTGCTTCCACGATGAAGTTTCTCAATACGGAGAAGTTCCCAAATGGAACTGTAGTTCTTCTGGGAATACATGCATCGATCTAGTTGTGGACATACGGTATCCAAATCTAACAGGTTACGACCCCAAGAGACGGGAAATGGAAGTTGGGGTCCCTGGCCATGTGCCCATGTCTATGGGCCAACTCCAAGGGCAAATTCTGTTGGAGATTATTACTCTTAAAGGAACATCGGTACTTACTGGAACCAACTGCGCAGCGGCATGGCAACTGAGGCGCCATAGAGTCAAGTGGCCAATGAAGCAGTAATTATTCAGTTTCGGACGCGAGTTACGCGCAGTCCGCATAAGCACACTGCTGATGAACTTTATCGCCCTGATCCAAAGGAGAAAGTTGGTACATATTTCTTCACAGTATTGTTTCATGAAGCGATGACAATGATCGGTATCCAATGTGCGTGCATGAAATTGTGGCTGTGTGCATTATCGGGTGTGGCCAAGATCATCTCAGCGAAATATGTCATCCAATGCAACCGTCGTCCTCCCAGGCGACATCATCGATGCACACAGCGAGGGGAAGAAATCTTTGAAGCTGGGACCAGGCCTTCTGCAAGTGTCTTCGGTTTCGGCATCTCGCGGACAGGATCCAATTGTGGCGACACGTCCTGGCCTTCTGAAGACTTCTGAGGGAAAAAACTGGTGGATCGAGGTTAATCAACGACGGGTAGTGTTTTTCCGGCGCTGTGTTCCGTGGCATCGCTGACTGCTCATTAGTATATCCCAAGCGTTGGAGAATCAGTCGTCGGCGTCATTATTGCACGACATGCCGATAGCTATCGGGTAGACATTGGATCCGCACACCTTGCGACCCTCGATGCCCTTGCGTTTGAGGGGGCTTCTAAACGGAACAGGCCGAATCTCAAGGTAATATATGCGATTTTTCCTTTTGTAACCTTATTAAGGCAAGACCAGGTTGGGATGCTGGTATATGCGCGTGTTTCCCTCGCACATCGTGACATGGACCCCGAGCTGCAGTGTTTTCATCCTTCCACACACAAGGCGGACGGCTATGGGGAGCTGAAAGAGGGACTGATGGTCTCCTGTTCGTTGGGGCTCGCTCGTTCGTAAGTACGGCCCGCTTGGTTAGTCGTACAGCTTATGTCATTTGATGCTACGAATTCTTTTGTCTTAGTTTGCTTTTAGGTGGGAATCCCCTTCTTCCACGGATTGGTTCCCAGTTTCCATTCGAAATTGCTATCGGTATCAATGGAAGAGTGTGGCTGAAGGGCTCCAATGTTTTGAAAACAGCAGTACTGGCGCGGGCTATTGAGTGGGCCGACAGTAATGAAGGATACACAGAGTCGGACGCGCAGCATTGGGTTGACCTGCACTCTGATCCATGAGAGCTGGCGTACTACGTATAGGTCCTAGTGCGCCACAATTGTTAGAGGAATATGTTATTCAGTTCTCGGTGTCTTGAAGGAGCGGTACCTCACCATCATAAACACCAATTCCGGTCCTTGCCAGTGTTCTGAAGCTAGTTCTGTTGATGCAATAAAAAGAACGGGTGGATATATTGCAATAACCTAATATATGTGTGTTTACTAGAATGCGTGTACGACTAGCGTGGAAAACTTTGTAAGTTCTTCTAGGCTTTACAGGACAATTCGCCACTGATAAGTGCGATGCCGGCACCCAATGCCCACCCCAGCTCTATCCCATCTATCTTCTTCACCAATGTGGCTTCTCTATTATCTGAGAACTCGTAGCCGAGTCGGAGGAGGGCATGCATGAATGTCAAATCCAAGCAGGCCTCTGGTCGTCCCTCCAGCTCTTTCATGGCCTCTTGGTCATCGCCCCAGTACTTCTTCCACGATGCGGCACCATTGCACACCCGCTCTGCAAGGGTAGCGATTTCCTTTATTTTGATAGTGTCCCGTCCTTTGGAATGTTTGGTCCTTATAAGGGGTATAATCCGGTCCGAGAAGTACGACAACGTAAGGATACCACCTGAGGGGAACGTATCCGTGATTGAGGGCTGGTAAGCGCCGTTGAAAGAACAGGGCTTGACTTCACATATCGCATCTTTGGCCATCACCAATTCGACCAGCCTGTTACAAGACGTGTACGAACCGATGTCTCCTCCCTTCATCGTGATGTTTACATCCTTGCGCCAGCCGACACCATCGATCTCTACCACCCTAGTCATCCCTTTCGAGAGACATGGGTTACCCATGACCAGCTCCTGGCTGGGTTGATGTGGTGAAAGGGGTTGCGCCTGACCGAATTCGTTCATAAATGCCACCAGATTATGTATACTGCGGCGAGCGCGCATGAGGCCATAGCCGAGGTAAGAATGTTGATATAGCACGTGTGTTTTGCCCGCGAAGACGAGTTCGTACTTATGGTCGCCATCTTTGAATGTTTCTTTCGACTCAGGTCCAAATGTCGGCTCGAGGACAATTTGCGTTGAGGCCCCACCCAAATCTAATACCGCATACGATGGATTCCCTTTAGATACGTGAGGACCGATCGTGTTCAGCAAGTAATTCGACGTGATCCACGCAAACACTCCTTCGTCTTTCCCGTCCATAATGGCTACACGATCATCCGACGTCATTTCGAAATTATATTTGGTACGTATCCGGGATCGGACCAGACGGAGTATTTCGGCGCTCACGTCGGCGCCCAGCAGGCGTAAGCCTGCGGTGGCTTTGACGGCAACAGGCGTGCAACTCACGACGTCATGTGGCACGATCTTCACGGCCTCCTCCAACAATGGGTCGAGGCTTTGGGCTGCAGCAACAGGATCTGAGGCGTAGGCAGAAAGGCCGGGGCGAAGCTCCTTGAAGACCTCGTATTCTAGTTTCGATTGGGCTTGGCAATTGTTAAACTTGTATACATGAATGCGTGACCCTTGGGATCCAGCGTCTATCATGAGTGCATATTGGACCAATTTCTTGTCCTTGGAGTAGGGCGTGGCACAGTAGACGGTAGAGGCAGGATTTTTATCGGTTTCAAAAGAAGTTGGGGCCTTTGGGGGCGCAGGAGGAGGTGTGGGGGGCTTTGTATCGGGGCGAGCTGGTGGATTGGAGTCGTGGGGAAAAGGGGGTTTCTGGTCATCAATATCACTCTCAGCTATTGGAGTGGGGCCTGTTACTGCCTATATTAGTTGATCAAAGGAGTGCTTGTCCAGAGGGACTCACTTGCTGGAGTTTCAATAGTGGGCAGGGGGACATAGCGTGTAGGGATGACCCATAGGAAGAATAGTATAGCACCCATAATGATTGCAATTTTCCATGGAAGTTGTCGACGCTTATCGGCACGACCCAAGGGCGAGTAGGGTGGTCCCCCCACACTCGACAACAAGTTCTTGAGGCCAGAGCGCATCTTAGGCTGTGGGATTTCTCTAATGCTTGTCGAACGGCTTGAGACAGGGTACTCGGATGACTTTAAGTTCCCGGGAGAGTCTAAGCCCATGCACAGCGTCGGTCCCTAGTGTATCGGGGTTTGCCGATCCGACCATCACTGCGAAAGGTCGCGACTCGCGACGACAAGCGTGTCAAATAGGATAAACTAACTTTTTTCTTGTCTGGATACACACAATGTCACAAAATCCGGTTGAAGAACCTCAAGCTGTGGCGAGAACCTCGCGTTCGGGCATTCAGGGTCCAGGCTTTGCATCGCGTCGCATTTCTGGCGTTCTGCCAAAAACGCCCATGAAGCGCTCGACACCTAGCATTTCGGGCTCAGTGAGGGGCAGCATCGGCTCTGCGCGAAGTATAAGCACGTCCGCATCAGTGTCTCAAAGTCGTGCCTCGATCCCCAGTTCCAATGCGGGGCTCGCGCGATTTCGCGTAGCCTCGATGGGGTCAACACCAGTCATCTCAACAGTCATTTCATCGAAGTCTCCTATCTCTCAATCTCACCCAGTCTCTCGGTCTCACGCTACAGATGCAGGTCGTCCTGTCGCGTCCCCTACTCCAACGATCATCCCTCAAGACACATTGAAAACTACGCCTCGCGACAAAGAAAGTCTTGCACCCCCATTACTTCATAATAACTTTGTTTCCCCTACTCCTAAACTTAGATCAACTGGAAATACATCCTCTCCAACTACTCCTCTCAAAAAAAGGATTTCAGGATCCCCTGTTATTCGAACCATTCAAAAACAGTCGACTGTGGAAACAACACCCCGTCAAAGCCCAGATGCGAGGACGAAGTCCTCGCCAGGGACTCCTCAGCCGACCCAGAAGCATCCCATCTCGAATGGACAGCTTTCAAATCCATTCGTTGTTGGAGCCTCGCCAGGAACCAACCTCTCCTCGGACCTGCATTCGACGAGTGGCCCATGTTCAGGGCCTGCTACCAACTCCACAGGTGGCGCCTCCATCCCCGACTGGGGATTGCCTGTTGAACAAACTCGCCATGTGCCGCTTCCTAATGAATCAGGAAGCGTACTGGGTCAGTCGATCGGCAATGTTCTCTCTGGAACTGGAGGATATGGCGATGAGGATATTACATGCGATATGGTTTCTGACGCGGAGCAGCTTGATGAAGACGTTCGTAATACTTCCCCGATGCACCCTTAGAACTCATCTATCTTATAGATGGCTACGGCTCTTCAAAACGTGCAAGATATCCATACATCGAAAGTCACCCAATACAAAAGGCTCCTGGAGCAGGTGAGCCTTTCTAGTCTCTGATGTACCCGTATCACCTCACAGTTTCACCAGACGCAGGCGTCGTCGGCACAACAGCTCCTCGCCCTCCAGGCAGCTCTTGACGGGGAGAAGGCCCGAGCAAAAGAGTTGGAAAGGGGTGCCCAAAGTTTGAAAAATTCTTTGCAGAATGCCAAGGCATGGATTTCTATTTAATAAGTTGAAGATCATGTTTGATCTGTATCTCAAGGCACGTCCAACGGTTGACTTCGGTCAATTTGGATTCGACATCGTATCTGCTATGCGGGGCGACGGTTTTGGCGGATTTGATGAACAAGGCATTAGGGCCGTTACATCAGCTATGAGACAAGCGGATCGCATGCGTCTGTAAGTGGCAGCTCGGCTTTTGACTGTTCAGATAATCATAAAGGCTTAGATTGCATATCATTTTGGACGCGTCTATGCCTGGAGATATCGTGAGTCATCGTAACCATCTCTATACCATCTCTGATATCCCCGGCAGCCCTTAATGATTTCGCTGCTAAACAAATACGCTCTGACTTGTTACGATATCCTTGGTCACCTTCCCTCAGAAATTGTTGTCAAGGTACTACCATACCTGAGGTAAGTGGTTCTCTACGCGAATACCGGTAACCGCAGAATGCTGAAGGGGCTGGAGTTTAAAAGAATTGTTGTCATGCGAACTTGTCAGCCACGCCTGGCTCAAAATATGCAGGAACGACGCACTATACCGTGTACTTGTTAATCAGGTTACACGGCACGACCCTTGGCCACCGAAGGAACCTGTTGAGCCGGTCGAAGGTTATTGGCGATCTATGTACAAGGCATTGCGTAATCGGGAGCTGAACTGGTCTTGGGGAAATGTCCAATCTTTACGGTAAACTGGTATTTGTCTATGATTAGGATGTTCTTCTGATTCCTGATGTGCGTAGGTTCCTCAAAGGCCACACAGGCTTTTGTACCACTCTGAACCTGAAAGGCAACATTCTACTTAGCGGATCTTATGACGAGTGAGTACGGAATTCCGTTCTTCGTTTGTTGCCAGGAATTGACACAATTTTGTCTAGGACCATCCGTCTCTGGGACATTGACACGGGCGAGCAGCTGAAGTGCCTTCAGGTCAAAGCCGTATCGTGCGTTGATTATCTCGAGGACCATGAAGTCTTTGCTGTAGGCTTCCATGATGTCGGTGAGAATTTCGTCACGCTCCTGCAGCGTATAATGAATAACGATGTCTTCAGGCCGCGTGCAGATCTTCTCTTCCTTAACATGGTCCCCGCTGCAAACGCTGCAAGGGCATTTATATGGAGTCAGTTACAGCTTTTTTGCTACTGAAGTTAACATACCTAATGGATCCTACCACGAAGATCCGTGCGGTTACTATCTCACCCACCTATATGGTTAGCGCCGGAGCGGACAAGGGTAAGAGCTCTGCCGAACTGGCTGGTATACAATTGAATATCCCTGTTTAGCCATTGTCGCATGGGAATGGAGGACAGGCAAGAAAATCGTCCGATTTGGGCAACAGATCAATATGTGTATTGGAGTGCAAATCATGGAAGAGGACAGAATCGTTTCGGTTACCATTGGTAAGATGTGTCTTGCTGCACATTGAATATCATCTGAAGCCTTCTCTCTGCCTATAGATGGAACAGTGAGGTGAGCGCATTTTTCGATCGTGGACTTATAATTCACAGTATCTTACACGAGTCATTTGTTAGGACTTTCTCAATCAGTGAGTCCGCATGTTTCAGTAGAAATTTCGGTTCGGCAACCTCACTGTGGAATTTACCTGAACAGACAAAAGAGAGATGCTCGGTCAATTCCAGGTGTGTTCATTAACAGCTCCTCATGGCCGAGTGGCTAACCAAATATGAGCAGCTTAATCAATTGGCATGCCCAGACGCGCTGCTTACCAGACATTTGACAAGCGTCGGCGTGGGTCCCAACAACATGCTGCAGTAAGTGATTAGCGGCGCTGACAGGGTTCCGCGGTTTATTTTTTTCCAAAGGTGGTTCGCAGCCAAAGGTCGCCAGATGACGGTAGGCCAGCCTTGATTGTAATCGGCGTTATCGGGGTACTGAAGATAGCCGATTGTTGATTGGACTCGGACCAGTGTGCCACCAAGAATGTGATCCTACATTTGACTTGGCCAAATTTGGAAACGGCTGTGTCATCCTCTAGGCTGCCGCCCAATGGAATCCCAACCCCATCATCCTCCCTCAGTCCTCCTGCCGCGCGTCAGAGGATAGTGTCTGCCAAGCCTGCAAATGGAAAAGCCGGACTGTCTATTTCAACGAGCGGTTTGCCACCCAATACGCCATCTAAACTCGACACGCCTCCTGCGTCTGCTGCTTCGCCCCCTGTACGCAAGCCCTCGAGACCTATCATGCCTTCTCCACGTGCATCGCTGCGTAGTGATGTGCCTGCATCCCCACTTTCAGCTTCCCCGTCTCAGAAAGTTGGGATCGTACCAATTCTTGATCATGTCCTAATTACGCCGGATGTAGCATGTGGTGCCGTTGATCCGAGAAAGAGACGTGTCGTAACGAGCACGCGGTTTTCCTCGCGTTTAGGAGCTGATCGAAGGGTAAGCGCTAGTCACTTGCAAGATCATCTTTCTGATCAAGCACTTGAGTAGATTTTTGTCTCAACCTATGATGAGATCGCTGCTGCACGGTTGGCTTCAGCCTCGCTCATTCCTGTGGAGTCCCCCATGGAGAGCCCCGAGCCACCCGGGCCAACATTTAACTCGGAGGCGAAAGGGATTTCGGAAATCCGAGGAGCATGGAGTGCGCTGGCGCGTGGGCAGGATGGTTTGGATGCTGTCTCATTGCCAAAAGCATTCAACGGGCTGGCAACTCCCGAGCTGAACCCAATGGTGGGTCCCTAGAGTCTTTGTTCGTCAGTCCCGAATGAATGTAAATGATGCTGCGTTGCAGGCTCTTGCGCTTAACCACGAGAAAATTGTTGTCGGATGCGCGGATGGAACTATTTAGTAAGTCGTTGTATTGACAACCTTTACCTTCCTCTCATCTACTCTCTCGTTGTTAGCGTAATGAGCTTCGTTGGCAACGAGTACACTATTGCGGAGGCGAGAGAGAATGCTCTGGCTAACCACATTTTCAGTGCCACCGTGGAGAGCAATGTGGCTTCTTGATTGAGACTCCTATCACGGCCTACTTATCTCCCGGCTTGGATCGGGACCGGTTTCTCTGATACCCTCCCTTCGACCACCCTTAACCTTAAATGGACTCGGATAATACTATGACCTTAGAACATATTATATCACTAAATGCTTGATGCACTCTTGCCCATCGCTGATCATGTAATGATGACTAGTTCAGAGAAAAGTGGCATGCGTGCGCTCGTGCTCATGAACCAGGTTTATTGTTAGTAGGATGAAAGGAAAAAGAAAGTACTCAACTAATTTGGTTTCGTTACGAAAAATTGAAGTTAACACTAGGGGCGAACAACGCTCAGTCTCAAGCCAATAGCGCAAAGAGAACTAAACTGGTGTAACCACCTAGAGGTGAACAGAGCCAGGTAGTGACACAATATAAGTGAATGAGGGACGTGCATGGTAAAGATAACGAATCTCAGTCTCAAGTGAGGAGCGCAACGAGAACTGAGGGCGTAAAGAGGAGTCGAGCTTTTTAAGCATCGTCAGCTCGAGAGTAACAGGAGAAAGATGGAACAAGCACAGCACGAGATCAAGTAAGAAATAATACAATATAAGTATGTCCTCATCTGGCTGTCTTGTCTCTCATTCCACTCACATCATTACACACCATGACAGACACCGTTCGTGCACGCTGGTCCATATTTACAGATGAACCCAATGTTCTCTGCTCATGCAGAAAGATCCTGCCCACGAAGGAATGCAGATCTGACTGCATGATTGCTCTGAGGTCCAGCGACGAGGGTGACTCCAGGATAATGTGCTGATTGATCCTGTTCAATGGGGTATGTTTCATTCTCCCCACTAAGGTGATCACAAAAATAGGCAGAGCATTAATGTCTCATCGAAGTGGTCAAGTGATGCGAAAGATCACGAAGAACTCACCATGAGTCAGTTAAGCGCCACAAACCGTCTGCTCGTTCGCAGTTTTCGTACTAGTACGCGAACGCAGTCGCACATTGGTCTGGCGCCAATAGCCTACCCCCCTTCTGTGGCTTTTACCCCAGAGGCTGGATCCTTAATAATTACTAGCCCGAAGGGAGAACAGCGCGTCCCTCTACCGTCTTTCGTCCGCATTTCAACACGGAACGCCCCTCTGACCGATTCATCAATTCCGTTACCAGCAAATGAGCTAACAGTGGCGGTCGAGGACCCATCAATCAAAGGCCAACGTGCATCTTGGGGACTGACGCGGGCTTTAATCGCGAATGCGGTCACTGGGCTCACAGATGGCTTCGCAGTCGCCCTGAAACTAGTAGGAGTAGGATTTCGAGCAGAGATGGATAAAGACCCATTCCCCACTCCGGAGACGACTGGCCAACGACTCAAACTCAAACTTAATTACGCACATTTCGTATATGTGCCCATCCCACGTGGAATTGTCGCAACGGTACCTAATCCGACACGGATAGTACTAAGGGGTTCGGATAAGCAGCAATTAGGACAATTTGCGGCGACTGTAAGATCGTGGCGTAAACCGGAACCATATAAGGGCAAGGTGAGTGCACAAGACGACGGACTTTCACAATTGTTTCCATCCCAATAAATGACAACTGCACTAGGGTATCTTTGTTGGGGACGAAACAATTAGACTCAAAGATGTCAAGAAGAAGTGATCCTAACGTTAGAACATGTTTGGCTTCCGCTTCGATGGTCCTTAGATGCATGTCTTCACTAAGATATCCTCATATTAATGTGCTGCAGTGGAATAATCATACGTGAAGCGTCTCCTCGAAACCGAGCTGGGTGATAATGGCGCACAACCGTTCTCTGAGCTGATTCACTTCCTGCCTAGTAGTCTCCATGATTTGGCCCTGATCTGCTGCCAATTGGTCCAAGTCAACCGAGCCTCTCGCTGTTCCAACTTCGTGCTCTTTCGCATGCAGAATCGCTTTCGTATCCGGTGGAAGGAGTGCTGAAAGCGAGATCTGCTGAAATGACTGCACGAGTAATTGAACTTCGTTTAATATGTCTGATGGACCCGGTCTGTGTTCCAGGGGGGGTACCCAAGCGTCCTGTCGTAAAAGGTCTCAGTCAGACATCGAGGAAGTCAGAAGTGATGCTTACAACGTTACTTTTCTCCTTTTTGAGGAAGACAAGCAGCGCGCTAGCAAGTCCACGCAATCTCCCAATCTCACGACCAATAGGCACGCCGTGTAGCGCATATCCTTGGTCGAATCCCTCCTGTAAGGCCGCTTCCTTACCATCTGTGATGCCTTCACGGTAGCCGGCCTATATATAATTCGGATTTCTACCTCGAGAACTCAAGCTCAGATGATGAGACGAACGTTGATAAAGCTTTCTTCAAGTTGATCCCATTCTTTATGACCAAAGTTGTGGGCCTCACCGGAATCCTCCTGAAGGAGATCCGCCATTAGCCAGACTTGAAGGTAAAAACGGTGTGTCAGAGAAGTGGTCGAGGACGAGATATATTTGAATGAACCAACACGAAGCAGGAAATGAAAAAAAAAAAAAAGAATGTCAACCTTTGTCAGACACACTGTTTATGATGTGCCACACTGAAGAATCAACAGGGACCAAACAGGTATCGAAGATGGAGGATTCCTCCAGAGTCTTTAGGTTGTGACCGTTATTATTGGCAGCTTATTGACCTCCTTCAGCCACGGAAACAACTGAGGAGGCTTCGATAGTGCCATATAAATGCAAAAGGGAAAAATGGATCACGAATTGGTTTCTGCAGTGAAACCAATTCGTGAACCGTGTAGTATTCAGCATGAGATGCTGACAGAGAGAAAGAAGTCTTCGGGTTTGACGCACACTCACTTTATACGTTCATCTCGGCTGTATCCGGTCCCGTACCGCGCGCTTACTGCTTTCAACGCAACCAAACCATCCGGACTCGACGCCGACTATTTTCTCAACGACACATGAGCAAGTGACTTGGTCAATCTTCCGTCCTTGGGCTTCGTGAGGACATGAGCACCGTCGAGAGTCATCTTTTTTCTTTGGATCCCCTTTTCATTGCCATTTAACATAGAGATCTCGATCTCACAGTAGGCCGAATGTCGTCGGGGTTGATAGTATTGGAATTGGTAGCGATTTACGCTAGCGTGTTACACTCAGTCAATCGTTGTTGAACTGAGGGAGACGAAAGGGAAAAATTGTTCACTGCTTTTATAAGCAGTCGCCTCAATGGCGCACCGACTAAGGTAGCAGGAATACCCAAAAAAGAAAGATGACGCCGCCACGTTGTGAGTTGGCCACAGCGTACTACAACTTCCAAGAAATACAAGAATCTCAACAGATAGTGCGTTTGTTCATCATGTAAAAAGTTTCACAATACAAAGTAGCATTCAAACCACATAACACCGGCTTTTTTGGCACTGGTCTATGATTTAGCTCATTTTTCCGCATCACTACTGGAATACGCTGCTTGCGGTGTGATTACTTCACTCACCGGATTCCGTCTAGGAGAGTTGTCTTCCGCCTTTATTTATATTTTATCGGTGCCGCATGATTCCTTCTAGATTTTGTTCATCCTTCTTGACAATCTTTTATGTTGTGCATTGCTGGGGTTTTGTCTTCAGGCTCTTGTTTCAATGCCTTCGCTGTGCGAAATCCGTTATACTCGCTTCCCGGATATTGCTAATCCGAGCGCACCATTATTTAATTAAGATTTGAAATCCCATCACCTGTGCGTGGGAAACATCCCACATTCCGATAGGCATGTTTCTTCGCGTACCTCGCCTTGTCTCTTGTCCGTATTACTACTGCTCCCTTCGGGGTGGCATACGCATAAAATTGGAACGATACAGAGAAGATTAGCATGGCCCCTGCACAAGGATGACACGCTTTGACCGAGTGGATGCTCTTCGGAGCACAATATTTATTTTTATTCTTTCTTCCCCTGTCACATTTATCGACGTGCTTCGTGGCGTCAGCCTGTCACATACACTTTCTGATCTTACGGCACTAGCCGCATCTTTTAAGCTTCCCACTTGGAGCAACAACTTGTCTTCCGACCTCAAATCTCAATAGCGTTGGCAGGTCGGATCCCGGCTCCCTTCTCTTGTCACCACTCAAAGTAGTTATGTAAACAAGACGCTCACAGTAGGCGATCTCCCTATGACGATCCTGGTGGCGGACGGTGCCAGCAATAGCGAGGCCAGAGCTGGCTTTAGCGATGGGGTGCACCCTCCTAGCTGAGTATGTACATGCTTTGATGGCTAACTGCTACGCTTACAAATAAACCCAGGCTTCCTTTTGGCTTGATTTAAGAAAGGTAGTTTGCAATATACATGATTGTCGGCGTCGTGTAAGCAGGACGTTTCAACAGAGGCTAGCAGCGCTCGGGCCCTACGAGCATAAGATGGCGTGGTTAGAAGTATATTCTTTACTGCGCTCTGCTTGCTTTGACTTTACTTTCGAACGTGAATATCGTAGGTTTCGTTCGTTCAATGACTGCCGCAATTCACTCTTGCGGAGCCCGGCATGTATAGGAGAGCAGACTTAGCTCATTGTTACTCTGATCTTTACTAACGACTCGTGTATTCCTTGTGCCGTAGCATCTCCTATAGGTACCACACAATGTCACTAGTTCACTCTCGTGAAGCTGAGTGTCTGCTCAGCTACGACAAAGGCATCTCAAACCCAAACTCCGGGGGACCCTCGGCTTTGCTTGGAACCTGCCAGCAGTGCTGGAGACATTCCCTAACTCGTCAGCATCGTGCGTGGTGCCCGGGGGATGGCAATCTCGTCGGAAACACGCTGCCCGTGTCAGGGTTCATATAATGATATATACGTTGGCAATATCGCACCGCTGAATCATGACGAGGTATCAACCTGATATCGTGCTCTGGTGCTAACCTTCCTTTTGCTGTGGTTCTTGGTGGATGATCACAACTTCATCAAGGGTCTGGCCTCCGCAATCCGCCTCACTTGCCCTGTAATCTCTGACCGCGAGGGGCTTAGGCTTCTCAGCGAGCGGTACTGTTTGCGGCTCATGTTCTCGAGTAAGGATGAGACAAAGGACACTTTTCCCTGAACACCACGCTGGATCTGAAATGACCGCCTGACCTGGGCATCAAGGGCTGATATTGATACCCTAAAAGGCTACGATTGGAGTTGACAGCGCGAGGTGATGGTTTTGCATCGTAGCTGTGTGCTCGTCTGTGTCAATGCTTTGGCCCTTCCCAGATGCTCTCCAATCTTTAGCAGAATCACAATGGTTGCTCCAACCATCAGGCGCCCGGATGTGTATGCTGCTATTGTCAAACCGGGCTGGGAACGCTAGAAGGGATATCGATGGATGAATCCGTACAAAATCTGGGCCGGCTAGGGAGAGCACAGCATTAACTGTACTTTTGTCCCCTCCAGAGGTACATCTGTTGTTGTCCCCTGGGAGCGGACCTTGTCGACATGCTTGAGCGTACCATTTTTGCGGTTGAACGGTGCAGATCGGTGGCCAGAAGCCAAGATATCGCAAAATCTTTAGTTTTGGTTTTCCCTTGAACCCCAAAGTGACTGCGCGCGGCCGCACCCATTTAGCAATACCCGAAGCGTCTCAGGAATTTTCGATGTCTGGGTTGTGGGAACTTAGGCCCCTGGAAAGGCATGAAAGGCGGGCTTTTGGAGCGATTCTTCCCTCCTTGCACTTTCTCTCTCTTGCGTTCCGCACCGACTGCCCGTCGTGCCCATACTCTGATATCGAGTTACACTGCGCACCGCGATTGTCCGCTGAGTATGTCCTAGTCGACCAGTAACCACTGGGGGGACTGCTCTCCGTTGATCCCTACTGTGATACCCTGGATCGATTGTGAACCTATTCCCTTTATAGCATCTGGTAGCTTGACACATTACGCGAACTTAGCAAAAACGTTCGACAGTCCTTCACAATGACGGCCTACTGACAGAGTGTGGCAACAGGGAACACACGGCTTTCCCGTCAGTTGTGCGTGTAAACCGTAACTTATTGTACAGCATCCGCCCTAAAAAAGCAGCGGTTAACATTTTCCTGGGCCACAGACGCGTTGTCGTTTGCCGACCAGACAAGGCCCGTGTACATCCCCTCATTTCTGAACCCAGCATGAACGATTTTACTTCTTCCAACGGCGGGTACCTGCACCTACACAGCCCGGTTTTTGCCCCGATACTTATTGGCTCTTATTTCTAGTTAGGTTTACACTGTTTCTCGTTTCTTGACTCGGTGGGGGGTTATCCCCCGCCGACGTTCTGATATTTTCCCCTATTGTTAGTTGTCCCGCTTCTGCGCCAATACTTGCTGAATGTTATGTGCAGTTATTTCTCTACGAAGGCCACATGGTCCCGTATCTGTTTCATGTACGGGTGGCACGACAGCGGTGATGGGCGCCGGGGGCGTCCTGCACCGGGGAGTTGCCAGTGGGCTATACGCAAGTTATGGGTGTGGGCTCATGGCCTAGGTCAGTAGCGATGGACAGTATTGGGCAACCTCTTGCGTGATCGTAGCTGGGGTATCTAAAGTTGCGACTGGGATGCGTTGCTTGGTGCCGCAGACTTGCCCGATTACTTGTCCTTCCAACTTAGCGGTGATATGTGGTGGCTGGCACCTTCCTGTAAGGCTTTGGCTGAGAGACATTCACATGGGTCATCTGGCCTGGGGTCATGATTCATTGTCCAGCACTTCAGTGTTCGTCAGCCCAATTCCATAGGTTTAGATGGTAGCGGTGTTGACTGTGTGGCTGGGACGTCGTATGGAAGCGCCGTGCCGCGTGATTTTTGGCTGGGGCACGTGTGAATGGGCTTTGGCCTGGGGCCGCAGTATTGGGGTGCCACGATGGCCGACTATAGCTGGGGAATGGGTGTGAATGAGCCTCGGTCTGGGATGCATACATGTTGGCCTGGAGCGTCATACTGCTAGATCGTGGCTGGGGCCTCTATGCGATTGGGCTTTCGCCTGGGGCGCGTACGTGTTTTCCTGGGGCTGCGGCATCGATGCTAAATTGTGGCTGGGTCGTGTATGTGAATAGGCTTTGGTTTGGGAGACACGCACGTTGGCTTAGGCTGTAGCGGGGCGTCGTGCTGTTAAATTATGGCTGGGGTATTTCTATGAATGGGCATTGGCCTGGGGAACATGTGTTGGCCTGGGGCTGCGGCGCTGACGACTTCCAACTGATTCGCCACTTGTCTAGGCCGTCTACCGTCTGACCGATATCCGCATATCATCCACCCTCACTGTTGATGTGGCAACCCGACGTAACGCGGTGACAAAGGTGCGCTACCAGGCACCCTATTGCCGACGTGGCGTACTAAGTCATACAGAGCGCAACTGTTACCCGCACTGGTGGCGGGATGCTTGCTCTTTTTCTGCTTTAACTTCATGTTGTCTGCCATATCCTGTACCACCTATTGTTCTGGCTGGCCACGCAAATAGGTATATAAGTGGTA